TATTTATCCATAGGAAGAAATTTTGGCATTTAAAACCGGTAAGACTGTTTCACTAAGGATTAGACCAAATTCATATTAAATATCAATTAATTTCACATCGATATAAAGAGTTTAGTCAAAATTGTTAAAGCCATTTTCGATTATGAATAGTAAATTTTTTGAAAAATCAATTATACAAAATGTTACTTCCGGTTAGTCAATTTTAGCGAAATACGCAATTTAAGTATCCTGTGTCTTTTCGGTTTTTCAAACTCAGATTGATCGTTTTTCGAGACTTGGTTACATGGACTCAGGAGAACTTAAAACATGAACTTCCGTTAAAACTCAGGTTTCGAAATTTTCGAACGTATTTGAAAATAAAAATTCAATTTAAACAAATAAAATGAAATAGTAATAGTACTGAACTCCAAGACCCTTTATGGGTTGTAGAGGAACAGGTTTTTTTTTTTTTTTTTTTTTTTTTTTTGTTTAATGAAATTAGAAGAGAATTATAATCGCGAAAAACATTTTAAATCGGGAGGAGGGGATTTTACAAAATATTTAATATGTAAATTTTCATTTTTAAAGTATGAAAGTAAATATTTTATACCTCTTCAGAATTCAATTTAAAATTTCCGATTGAAATGCAGCAAATTCTGTTGCAATACATATTTTCACACATTAATTAGGCAGAGAATCGCATGTCTGGGGTAACAGCTCCATCCTACCCAACTTAATAATTTAATTCTCGGCGATATGGGATCAATACAAGTACTGTCTGTATAAAAGCGTTGTATCGGCACAAAGGGGACGGGAGGAGGGCTGCAGAAAAGATCAGTCAGCGGCACGTGCTAAATTGGTTTAAAACTTTACAAAGGCCGTCAATTTGGGTGTGAAACCCGATCGGGCGACAGCGCTTGCTAAAACCGGTTAGTCGTGGTTAACTTGAATCTATTTACCTGCAGCGGGTCGTCTGTCGGCAACAGAGAGAGGATATTAAGCTCAAATATTACTTTCCAGGGGCGTCGTTTTGTCTCAGCCATCGAGTGAATGAATGAAAAATAATTTTATTCTGTAATAATGAATAATATTCTGGTATGAAGAACAGCAAAAAAATAAAATAAATTAAAAAAATATGTTACTTGTCGCTTAACTGTTAATAAGAAAATTTAAATACTTAATCTAATAATTCTTGCATGGTTATGGAAGTTTGAATATGGAGTAGGAGTTATTTGAAGGAATTTATAAAGAATTGACGTATGGAGATAAAATAGCTAAGGAGTTCCAAAAGAAGGTAGACGAAGGATTTACTGCAGGAAGTGGTTTTACGGGATAGAGTAACGTAGAGTAAAAAGTTCTAGGATATAGAGAGGATTTGTATTTCTAAGGACTTGGAAAAGGAAAACACCAAGAAGGAAATGCCGTCAGGAAGTAGGATAGATCCACTTCAGCTCGGTGTACCAACAGGAAAATTGAGAACATCTGGTAATCGCTAAGATGAATTTTATGAATGAAATTATGAATCTCTTCAATCCCATCTCCAACCTTGCAGACAGCTATCCATACACCAAGCAATTGTAGTTAAAGAGGTGGAAAACAAGGAAAGTTGGTTATAAGGATCTGATTTGTTTTTTTAGGAATAGAATCACGGAATCTTAGGAAATATTACAGGACAATTAAGGAAAATGGTTAAGGTAGATAAGACTAACATTAAAGGGTACTCTTAAGTTTTTGCCTGTCCGGAGGAAATGTATGGGGCGGTTATTGATGTAAAGTTGATGAGAGTTAGCGTTCAGGCTGTTTTTTTATAATTCACAATTTCAATTCCAAATCATACAATAATATCAGAGAAACTTTTTTCGAAATAGAAATTGTCTACCGAAATGTTGCTGAGTAAGTAATAGTGACCAAGTGACCCTTGAGCGACAGTGACCGGCTCTGACTAGGGATAAAATTAAAGAAGAAAAAAGTACAAACATTTTATCTAATTTTCTTTAATTTAATAACTTAAAAATTAAATTAATTTTAATTTAATTCAATTTACTTGAGGTCGTATTACGAAATTTTCATATTTTGCCTTTAAATATGAAATTTTGATTGACTGCTAAGTTATTTCAATGGTTCCAAAGAGAACAAAAAAAATTATTATGAGAATGTACTGTTTTAACAGAAATTATCAATTATTAAAAACAGCAACTATAGTCGTATTAATCATTTAATTAAAGTATTCATAGATTTTTTTTGTTGTAAAAATTAGATTTAGGCAAAAGTTTTAATCACCATCATGAAGATATTTTTGAGACTGCTCTCTCTCTCTCTCTCTAATATTCTCAATTAAATAAGAAGTCTATCAAGTGAACGTTGTTTAAAATGTCTTAGTGCTCTAATGATTTAGAACAATTATCTTTTGTTATAAAAAATGTGTTATTATCAACTACCATTAATCAAGAACTTTTAAAAAAATCTAATTACAAAGAACTACATTGAAAATTTTAGCAAATTAATTAATGACCTTTATAATTAAAAAAAAAATATGTTTTTAAATAGGAATCCCGACCAAAATAAATCCAAATTATATCAAGTTTATTTTTTAATATTCTTCAAAAAAAGAACTGTGTTTCTTTTTTTCAACTTAATATACATTCCTCTTTCAAATAAATCTAGAAAAATTTTTCAAAGAAATTTTCATTAAAATAAACTCGACAGAAATAAACCCAAACAAAAAAAAAAAAAAATTCAGATTTACAATATATTATATACATAAATTTTACAAGGAAGATTAATTTTTTTAAATCTAGCAATAAAAGACACTTTTTCCGTTCGTTAGGAGAGGTTTACTGGAGCATCCCCAATTCCTGATGCAAAATTAATCCCAGTCACATTTTTAGAAATTTCAGTTGAGTTAGAGATTAATAACATAAATTGATATCTGCTTCTTTCGGGCTGTAGCTTTCCCCAAAATGGTAAAATATAACCATGTTTTACAGAAAAAAATATTAAAAACTATCTCTTAAAGTATTCCTGTTCGTTTAATTACATTTAATAGGACTTCAAGAACCACTTAAACACCATTTCATATAGGTAGTTGATTTCTTTCTTTTTTTTTTTAAATTAATTATCGTTATTTGTATATGAAAAAAAAATGTTTCGGGCTGATGCTCCCCCCTCCCCCCCGCCAAAATGAAATCCTGGATCCGCTTGTGCCTTAGACTACCACATACATCAACATGAAACATTTGACGTTATTGGAGGAATTTTATCTTCAGTACTACAGTGGCTTAATAATATTATCATTGTTATATTATAATAATATTATTAAGCCAATGTACTCAGTACCAACCCGAAGCCAATTTTGGGATGGAGCGATATCCAATTTCGGTACCTCCCTTGTTGTGATAATAATAGTTTATTTTTAAAAAAGGACACATTTTACATGCCACTTATTTATTATATATTTGCCACTTTGCCACTTATTGATATTTTACCACAGAGTCGGCGCCCCTTAGGATTTTGCGTCCTAGAATTTGCCATATGGTAGGGCCACCCCTGGTTATCCATTTTCAACAAGTAACCCTACTAAATTGAATTAATAATCTTATAAAAAATGGAAGTGATTGAGACATGGGTTTAAGTGTGATAAATAAAACATGTTTGTCACAGGAACAGTTGAAAAAACAAACAAAAAAACTTGAGTTCAAAAATAAAAATATTACAGTTATTAAAAGTCAAAATTTGTAAAAACCTGTTTATACTTCGCCCCTTCCTCTCCTCACCCACCTTGACGTTTCTTACGGGGATAGCACACGATGTAAAATAATATGATGGACACAGATTCTCCGCAAATCGATAGAAATGGTGGCCTTGAACTTCTCACCAAACTTGGCTACCACCCTTTTTCGAAATTCAGTCAAGTTGCAAAGCCCGCTTCTGGAGAGGATTGGATAATATTGGATAAGTAATTGAGGTCACCATATCCATCTTATTTTATCATCACTGAAAATAATTAATATTCAGATACATTCTGAACTTAAACTTACTGATTTTACCTAAATGAAATTCTAACTTCTTATTTCGCAGTGGACGGATATCAGGCAAAAGAATATTCCAATTTCCAATATTCAACAATCGACTCGCTCACATCAGACTGCAAATGGGTAATTTCAGTACAGCAATAGTTCACGATACAAACCCCGTTTTGTTAAATTATTAACATCCGCCTAAAACTTCGTGAATGGCTTCGTAGGCTATCGTGACCTACTTTTTATTTTTTTATTTATGAAAATTCTCGAGAACTGGGAAACTAGAGATCGGTATACTTAGGTATATTTAATGAGCTAGTAGAATAAATCCATTTCCCATTTGAATCGTAAGGTAACTTGATCATAAAATCTAGGATTTAGACTGTTTGGCGTGACCAACCCCAATTTATCAAAAGAACGAGATATATTGGCCAAACTGTCCAACATTTTTGTCAGACTCCTTTTTTTTGTATTTTCTACATGTTTTTATTAGTCCATCTTTTAGTAATCATATTTCCTTCCTTGTAAATCATGTGTAAACGTCCAGAAATCTTAATTATTTCATTTTGTGTTTTTTCTACAGCATACTTATTTCTTATGTAATATATTTTTGACTCTCCCATTTATTTATTTTTTTAATATTCTGTTATTTATATATTTTTTTAATTAAATAGAGGATGCCCTATGTTCCCCTAACAGTGGACCAACTCTTATTTTAGAAATTATGCAACTGTTCATTTAATTGTACTACTCCTAGTTCAAATTGTATAACAGTAATTTACATGTATTCTGTAGTTCAGATTGTATTATTTTTTATTAACATACAATAAACAGAACAAAACCACAGTTCAGACAATTTTTTATAATTTCTTTGAAATATAAAGAAAGTTGAAGTCTCTAGCATTAAAGCATAAGAGACATAGAGATTTTTATGAAGCTTAATTAGACTAATTGTTTCAAATTAGTGATACATACTACTTATATAAAAAAATCCACTTTCAGGTATTGCGGTGCGACCCCTAGAGCCTAGCCAAGATGTAATAATGCTTATATCATACCCTGGAGAACTATTCATGAGGGTCCTGAAGTTGATGATATTACCATTTGTAATATCATGTTTAATTATGGGTAAGTAGTCAACTCTTTGTGTTTTACTAAAATTATTTAATTTTTTATAGAATAAATGAACACTTATAAGAAAATCTAAAAGCTATTATATTATATTTTATTTTTATAATTCTGTTGTATTATGTAATTCTATTCTTTTATTGTTCACATAATATATTTTTGGTGTTAAAAAAACATTTTCTTGAATCTTCCCATTGTAAAAAGATCATAATTTATCATTTTCCAGTTTTGGCTTTTTTCTTGATTATCTATTCACGCTAATTTGCCTTAAGGTCAATTTCATAAATAATCACAATCATAAGGTACAGTGACCGAAGAAAGTATTTGCACACGTTGTCTTTTCTTTATATAATGAATTTAAATTATAATAAAATAGTTTGAGGTTCCTTAATAAAAAGTACAATTAAAACTTGTTTAAAAACCGTATAAATTCAATTAAAATTATTGATCATAATAGAAATTTATAGAAACACAAGGAAAAAAGTATTTGCGCACTATGCTTGTTTACTTGCTCTTGTTTGTATCCTTGAGTATAATCCGGTTCTTTTCTATCAGTATTATAAAATATTTCAATCTATTAAGTTCGTTTTAATTTGACCGACCCTAATGCCAAAAACAAGTGAACTAAGTGCCGCTACTCGTGAAAAAGTTATTTATATTATTTCGAAATCAAAGAAAATCGTATTGCGAAATAGCTGATTTGTTAAGAATTAATTTTTCTACCATCAGATACATAATTAGGAGATTTAAAGAAAGAGGCACAACTGCAAATAACAGGCACAAAGGACGTCCAAAGAAAGTAAATGAGAGGATGAAAAGAAAAATCCAAATTGAATTGATAAAAAATCCAGGAGTTAGTGCAGGTGTCCTAGTTAATATGGTCAAATGGACTTCTGGGGTCTGTGTGAGCACTACAACAATTAGAAATAGATGGCAGAAAGACGATATGGAGAAGCTGAAGTGAAGAATTCATGAAGAAAAACGTCTCAGATACTGTAAAAAATGGAGGTGTGAGTGTTATGGTTTGGGGATGCGTGGCTTACAATGGTGTAGTAAATCTGCTGCCTATTGAAGGGATCTTAAATGCAGAAGGTTAGGTCAAGATTTTGCACCATAATCTGCTAGCCAGAGCAGCCAAATTAGGAATTCAGGATCGATGTATTTTTATGCATGATAATGATCCGAAACATATAGCAAACAAAACTAAAGAGTGGTTAATATTTAACATTCGCCAACAACTCCATATCCCTCCACAGTCTACCGACTTAAACATAATTGAAAATTTGTGGCATATTTTAGATAAAAATGTTCGAAAACACCAAATAACCAGAAGACACCACCTCAAGGATCTTTTACTGCAAGAATGGGAACAAACTAACACGAATTTAATTAAAAACCTCATCCACTCAATGCCGAGACGTTTACAAGAGATAATAGATGCCAACGAACTTCTTACAAAATATTAAATTTAAAAAAATAATTATAAAACGCAAGGTTTGCAAATACTTTTTTTCTTTTTTACGTTTGATGTTTTGTTTTTTTATGAAATAAGTTTTTCATTTTAATTTTATTTGTAATTATTAAGTTATGAATATAATTTTTATTTTTGAAGTAATAAGATTTTTTTTTATTGCATAAACCCATAATTTAATAATAAAAAAAAACGTGGTGTGCAAATACTTTCTTCGGTCACTGTATATCACAAATATTAGACCTATTAGACACTTTTTTATTATAATTTTTAGGATAAAAAATAACAGTTATTTTATTTTTTTAAATTAACTAATACATTAGTTTTAATCAAGTTTTTTACTATATTTAGAATTAATTATTTTTCCTAATTAACAGCCCTAATTTTAAATAAATTTGTGAAAAATTATAATATTAGACTTACAAATTTGTTTTCATATAAAAGCAGAATTTAATTCTCTTAATGTAAAAGACATAAAATCTTCAGACTTTAATTTATTAATGTTCATTTAATGGAATATCACCCTTAAATGTTTATCGATCAAAGTCATTTGACTCATCGATTGATGAATGATCATATGCTGCATATTAAGATAAGATCTTGTGATGTTAATACAATTTTATTTCCAAAATTGGATGCTCAAATATGATATGATATGATATATGAATTATTATATATGAATAACATGATTTATCTAAAATCTTATTGAAAATTTCATATTTTCGGTCATTAGAGTGAAGTATCTATTAATTTTAAGGATTTCTAACGACTTACAGCCATTTAAATCCAAATCACAGATTAACAAACATAACATTTATATCTGACAACAATATAACTATAAAATTAATGACTTTGGTCAAACTAAAATTACTTTCAAGAATGATAAGATTGATTCTCTTACTAGGTACTGCTACATTAAATATTAGCAAGAATGGAAAAATTGCAGTACGAACCATTACATATTTTGTAATAACTTCAGTAATAAACGTTGTTCTGGGGATGGCCCTTGTAACTGCAATCCATCCAGGAAATCCACTTGTTAAATTTAACTCTACTCTTGATTCAGAAGATGTGAAGATAACTAAACCATTGGATGGCTTCTTGGATATGGGAAGGTTAGTATTCATCTTTTCATGTTATTTATTTATTTGTTTGGAATTGCATATTTTTAAATATTTTAACTTAGGCAGTTATTGGTTCAATTATTTCATATAAAATAAATGGTAGTATCACATGAAATATCAATTTCTTAGGGTAATAATAATAAAACATGGAGTGGTGTAAAGCTGTTTGTTTGCTTATCTATTCTAGTTTCCTTTGACTATGTGGATATTCTAAACCTTAAGAATTAAAGTTATGCAATATATTTAATAATTGCTTTTACTTTTTTCCGCACTCTCGAATATTTTCTAAAGCATGAAGCTGATAAGAATGTCTTGATTAATTCTTGTGCCATCAGTGGGAGTTAAGTGTTTTGATTATTTCAGTTTGTTGTTTTTTCTTGCTTCAGAAAATAAATGAATAATAAATAATTAATTAATAGAATTAGCTAATAGTATTGTGCAGTTAAATTTAATTTTTCCTAAATCGATGATAATTAATTTTTTAACTCATGTCCCAGCATCTTTACTAATAATGTCCGCAATGACAAGGATTGCTTGAAGCATGTAATTTTTCCAATCATTATTCTGGAAAGGAGAATATTTGTCCCTTTCAGCCATTCTATGTAAAGTATTTTTTAGAGGATTATTCCTCTTGCAGATCATATTTTAACAATAACTATAGAAATTTGTGAGAGTAAATGTTAAACAAATAAAAATAATTGCAGTTTTCCATTTGAGTATCTATATAGGATTCCTCATAGAATTTATCACATAGTATTTAAACAGCTTTGTTGCATTTTGGGCGAAGGCCATAAAAAATATATTTATTGTTACTCCCAAAACTGAAATTTTATGTTATACAACCATTCAATTTCTTAACCAATTTCTATTGTAATTTATGCCAATCCAGTTTTCTGAAATAAAAAATTTATATTAATTGCTTTTTTCTCAACATAATAAATTCTATTCTCTTATGAGAACTTTTATAGATGTAAGGCATAAAGTTATAATTTTATGTATGGAAGGATTTCCTTCCAGTGGACTAGGTGAGCTCATTTTTGTTACAGAAATCTTGTGCCAGACAATTTGTTCCAAGCTGCATTTGAACAGGTGAGTGGAGTCATATTTTTGCCCATAAATATATGAGGCATAAATTAAATATTTTAATGTTATTTTAAATATATATATTTTAATTCTGTAAATTTAAAATACATTAGTCTCAAATTAGAACTTTTTTTTTTTGATGCATCAAATATTTTGTGTTGGGAAAGTGGAACATTATGATCTTCAAAACAATGCTTAATATGTTACAGACATTCACAGACTATGTTCCTGTAGCAATCAAATATGAACACACATCAGAAGACGGTAAAAAGAATTCGTCTAATGTAGAGGTCATACAAAAAGCTACATTCAAAAGAAAGCTTCAGTTCAGGTAATTATTCATTAAGCAATAATTAAACAAATAAGTCCTCTGATAATTTTTTATTTATTTTCATACTTCAAATAATAAACAACATTGAATCCTTAGCAACAAAATCCCATCAATTGAAATTTTATGACTAAGTATTTGACTGTTTTTGACAAGCATAACAAGTGATGAAATTAGATTTCTAATACGAATAATCAGAAAGACTTTAAGGAAAGTTTCAACATTAGAGGAATCGAAATAATGAAATTTAGAAGCTAGGGTTAATAACTTAAATGTTATAACATCACTAAAATAGTATTAATTACTTTTTAAAATATTAGAAATCTTATATTAATCATTTAGTTTTGGTTTTGGACAAAAAAAAAAGTTTGTCAAAACCCAAAACTTCTAATCTTTATAACATATAAAATGTCCATGTCTTTGAATAATTATTATTTGGACCTTGATTTTAAGGATTTATCCTTTTTTTTTTTTTCCTGTTTAAAAGAAAACAGAATTCTCAACAGACATATGCTGATCTTGTATAGATTTAAAATACAATGATCTTTTTTGCAATTTTGCTCTAAGATAGATCTTTTTGCAAATTTGCTATCAAATAAATCGTTTTTTTTTTTTTTCTCTAAAATAAATCTGTTTATTAATAATATTCAATTTCGCACAAAAAAAAAAATATATATATATATATCCATTGTTATGCCTTCATTCTAAGTTTGATTCATGGATATATTCTCGAATTATGTATGCTCTTAGGCTAAACTAAATATCTAATTATCCTCTATATTATTTCTAAAAGGTGTTTTTTTATCAATACGCCATAACTTCGTCAATTCTTTATCAAATCCAATGATTGACCACTCATTTTGGAGATATTCTTTTCCTTCACATGCAAAAAATAGTCCTATCATCCCGAAATTTCTGGGAGAAAGTTATGAAGTTCACAAAAAGTGTTATAACTTCAATATTACTACACTTTTTTTCCTGGCTGATATATTAACTTTATTATTTCTTAAAGACATTTGGTTGTTCTTACATTTTATTTTTTTTAATAAGTTATAAAATCCCATGATCGGAGCATTATTTTGTCTTTATTACTTTTATTATCTTTCCAGTCAGCATTTAAAAATAGGTCTTAGCAAAAGAATTTGTACAAATATTTTTGTCTATTACGTTTAATGGAATATTGTAATCGACCAAGGAAAAAATATTAATTCCTTCCTTACATAATAAATAGGAACTACTTATTTCCATATTGTTTTGCTATTTCTTCACTAAACAAAATTTTCTGTGAATTATTCGCACGGGCCAACTAATATCAATTTAATTTATGGGGTTGTAACTTACTTATGATAATACTTAAAATTTAAATAATATTAATTATTTTTTGTAGTGATTTATTCATTTCCATTTTTTCAGATTTAATTATTCTTACATTTATATACTATTTTTTAATTTTCTTATTACTCCTTTTTTTCAGGGATGGAACAAATACAATTGGAATCATATTTTTCTGTTTAATTTTTGGATCAGTACTGGGAACACTTGGTCCTAATAAAACAATAGTTATTACATTTTTTAATGTGATATATGAAGTTTTGTTAAAGATGCTGATGGGTGCAATGTGGTGAGTTCTCACATGTTAATATGATAATGAATTGTTACAATTTTTGTTTTCATATAATTTTTATTTTTAAGATGAATATAAAATAATAACTAGGCTGTTACTCCTCAATATATGTTTTATTTATTTTCTGCTATTACCAACCTTTTTTCTGTAAGCACTTCATTTTGATAAAATCCTGTTGGTGTTTGTGATACTGTATGGTTGATGCCACAGCTGAGTGGAATATACAAACAGATAAAATTGATGGAAACATTAGATATACTTTCCTTTTTTTTTTTTTTTTTTTTTAAATAATCCTGACTGCTACTAAATCATTTGAACCAAAGCATTGTCAAATTCAATTATTTCTTTTACTGTACACGTTCCTTTGCCAAATGATTTTACACTGTTTTCTAACAATATTTTAAAATATGGAAAAACATTTTTTTTTTTGGAAGTGAAAACATCGGTGTAATGTTGGCTACCCCAATGGGCTACAGCCCTACAAGGGCCTGGGCCTCCTCTACTATTTTTCGTCACTCCTCTCTATTCAGTGCCTTTCTTCACCATTGTCTTATTCCTAGGCTACGGAGGACCTGTTCTCGGTCATCTAGCCATCTTTTCCGAGGATGTCTCCTGCTTCTGATACCTTCAGGCTTTGCTCCTAATAACTTTTTTGGGATTCTGTCCACTAGCATTCTCTCAATGTGCCCTAGCCACCTCAACTGAATTCTTCTAATGAAGGACACCAGATCTGGCTCACAGTACATTTGTTGGAGTTCCACATTTTTTCTTAATCTCCATTTTCCATTATCACAAACAGGTCCAAATATTCTCTTGAGTACTGTCCTTTCCCACATATTCAGAATCTTTTCAATCTTTTTTGTTAGTATCCAGCTTTCACAACCATTCGTCATAACCGGTCTAATGATTGTTTTGTATGTAAGGACCTTCCCTGTGTTTGTCAGATCCCTAAACTTTAATGGTTTCTAGAGAGTGAAGTAGCACCTGTTGCTATGAATTCTGTCGTTGCACCTGTTGTATGGCATGAATTCTCGCTTTAATTCCGTCCAAAATTTCATCATGCTCTTGGAGAAATTCCAAATATTTAAATTTTCTTACAGCCCGGAACGTATGGCTGCCTAAATTTAGTTGTTCGTAGGTATTATTCTTATTTTTAGATATTTGCATGTACACTATCTTGCGGTCATTTATTACCATGCCCAGCTTAGCAGCGGCCTTCTCAAACTCCTCAAACGCCAATATAACACCAATATGAGAATATCGTCTATTTTTAATGTTAATCATTCTGGATATGATATCCAATATTATTCTGATAAGCAAATGTTTTAAAACATGTCCATGAGAAGTCGACCAAACACCTTTAAAAGCAAATTTATTTACTTTTAGATTTGTTAAACTCATTGTTATTCTTATGATTGTATATTAACAGCTTATGTTTTTTTTTTTTACCCTGAATAGAATTTTCATATCACTCCTGTTAGGGCAAAAGGTCGTATGTAAAAATTTTACATGTTTATTTGCTCTAAAGGTTACATTTTGCAGTCTCCAACTGCTGCAAGTAGTCTGCTAAACAGGAAAATATCAGAGGAAAATAAAATATGATACTGATACTACTAAATTATACTAATAAACCATGAAGTAATAATCGATTTTAGTGCTCTCCTGTAAAGAAAAGTTAATTTTTATATACGATCTTTTGTAATAACAGTAGCGATGAGTATTAGATTTTTATTTTATTATTTTTTACTGTTATTTATAAGATATCTTCTTCTTCTTGCCTTTTTAATCTTAATCATTGTCTCATTTTATGTATCAGGTGTACACCTATTGGAATCGGTAGTGTGATCTGTGGAAAAATAATCTCACTTGGAAATTTATCGGATACTATTACCCAACTCAGTTGGTTCATATTAACAATATTTATCGGGGTGGCAATCCACCAGCTGATAATTTTACAAATCATTTATTACATTGTTGTAAGAAAGAATCCTCTATCTTATTATTTATCATTTGGACCAAGTATTATCACTGCTTTTGCAACTGCTTCAAAGTAAGTTTGAAATAGTTTTATTAATTCTGAATGGCATTTGTATTTAGGGTAAAAACTTGAATCACATTACTATTTTGGAAGAAAGCTAACACAACTCAAAAATTAAGATTTTTCTCTCATGCATTATCACAATCAGCAAGATGTTTATTATTTAACACAAGTTAGAAAATATTAACAAGAGAGGCACAGGTTTTTGTCGGACAGTAGTGCTAATAAATAAATAGAAATATTTTTTATTTGTGACAGTTAGCTTCCAAAGAGGAAATACAATATTCTGTTATATTACATATAAAATAAGAAATACTAAATATCATAATGAAATACAAAATATAGTGCATCTTTTTTTTTTTTTTTTTTTTTTATTCTTCCCTATCTTTTAGGCTATACAGATTTTTCTCGGGCCGGAGGGTGAGGGCATAGAAAATTTAAAATCCCCTCCAGTATTGGGACGCGAACTCTTTTCTTTAATCTTAAATCTTAGTTATCTGGTTGCCAAGGCCACCCCGCCCCCCCTAAAATATAGTGCATCTAAGTCAAGTTTGAGTGTAGAGGAAGGAAGCTCGCGCAGCTTTCCCCCACTCAAGTTCCACCTCTCCAAGACCTCTCTTCAGCTTCACTTCCCCTCTTTACCATAGCAACCACCTTGTACCAGGAAAGTGTATTCAATTTTCTTCAAATTTCACACAAATGTATATTAAAGGTAGGGATTTTAATTTAAAAATAAAATAAAACAATGGCAAGGCTGGTTAAATAATCATATTAAGAAAAAAAATATATTCCCAGCCTCTGTTTTCATGAATTTATGTATGTTCAAAATTACATGTTTTGTCTATGAGTAGATATTTTTGCCTCTACCAAATTTACTTGATATAATAAACACAAATTGATAAAAGAAATGGGGAAAAAATGATAAAAGAAATTTCTACTAGTAAACAAAAATTTAGATGTACATATGAATGAGTATAGAAGACAAAAGAGTGAGGGATGGGCGGGAAAATGTTTTGCCACTGTGCATCCCTCTCCCTCTCTACTCAACCTCAAACGTATCTTAGATAGAGTCTACCAAATATTGTGACTAAATATTAAAGAATTCCTATGAAATATTAAAGTATCATTTAAGAGCAATATTTACATTCTATTTTACTTGCAAATTATTTTCCATGGGCTTCCATTTTTATGGAACCTTTTATAAAAAGTTATGTTAAATTAGAAATAAATTGTAATTGGGTTTAGAGAATAGATATAATTTATCTTGTATGACATACCCGGTAGTAGTTAAGAATGCAATGCTTAATTATCAATTTTTAGACTAATTTTTTTGTGAAATGCATTGCTTCAATAGAACTTAAATAAAAGTTCTGTTGAAAAATTTTTTTTTTTTAATTTTCATAAGAAAAAGTTTTGTTTCAAAAGAACAATCCAAAATAAAAATTTTAATCATATGGAAAAATATATAAAATTCACATTCCAAGCCCTGGTATTTTCAAAAAGAGACAAACTAATTTATTTAAATAGAATTTGTCTTCCATTTATTTCAACTTAAAATTAGAAAAATGCTTATGTTTTCATTTTAAAATTAGGTTGTCTGTTATACCCAAGGCTAAGCTTACAATGATATAATAAAACATACATTATGCTACAGTATAATAAATACACACATACTTTAATTATACATACTATTGGTTAACAACTGGTTAAAATGTAATTTAATTTTTCAGATCAGTTGCACTGCCATTAACTTTTCGTATAATGGATGAAAAAGTAAAAGCAGATAAAAGAATCACTAGATTTATTCTTCCAATCGGAACAATTAACATGGATGGAACTGCCTTATTTATTACAGTATCTGTCATATTCATTGCTCAGATGAATAATATTGCCCTTGGAATTGGAGATCTTTGTACTATTGGGTAAGTTATTTTCTTTTAATAATAAAAGTAAATCTGAAGAATAGATACAATTTCAATATTATAAGGTTGATGAGAATCACTTGATACACCTGTGAAATAAATAGAGTTCAAATGTGAATAAATGATATAATTAACGTAATGGTACATTTTAGATTTTTTTTTTATCATGGGCAATGAAAAAAAAAATAGTTAAATAAAAGTGGAGCAATAGTTGATATGGTGGTGTTCTAAAGGAGCTAATAAGAAATATAACTTATCGTCTATAACAAAACCAACAAATATTACTCAATCCAATGAATTACTTAAACAAACAAATGCTACTTCACCCAAAGAAATTGAACCTCAATCCATTCCTACCTTGTCTAACACTCAGGAAAAATTGTCAACTTCCAATATCTCTAAGTCCCCCACTATTAATTTAAAATCATTTAAAAACTTCAAAGAATTATGTCAAAATTTATCAACAGAAGTCGGACCTCGTGGATTTAATTGTCATTCCAACAAAAATGAGACAAGAATATTTCATATGATAACTTTAATTATCAAAGAAAAGAATATAGAACTAAACATTAACCTACGATTATACAATATCCTAATTATAAATGTTTAAATAAAAATAAATAAAAAAACAGTGAGAAAAACTTATATATACATATTTAGAAAATCTCAATGGTGTAGTTTGTCCAATTTGTACATTGAGTTATCTGAGGAAGCAAGTACTTGAAGTTATTCAAGCTAGCGCCATAAGTATCTACCCAGTCCACCTCCTCAAGCTGTGAAAATGTTTATTCATCAACTTATAAAATCAAGTGGCACTTGTCGCTGATAATCACAGGTTCCAGGTGGGGAAAAAGAAAAATCTGGTGTACTCCGTAAAATCAACTATTTCACAAACAATTCCCTAGCGTGCCTCTACACTTGCGAGGTTCCGCTATCAGTCTCCAAAACTGTCTTTTTTTTCCCAATCATATGTTGGCTATTACAATGGCTTAAAATTAATATTTAAAACTAATTTATTTTTAGCTAACCTTCTTCGAGGTAAAACTAAAAATTATACAAATCTACTGTGCAACAGTGCCATCGGATAGTAGTCACTATCTCTATTACTTTTGAGAAAAAGGAATATTGCTCTGTGGTATTTCTCGACATAAAAAAAGCATTTGATAGTGTCTGGCACAAGGGCCTATTATGGAAACTAAAACCGCACTTACATTCCACTTATTTTCTAATTCTTCAATCCTTCTTTCTTAGCAGATTTTTCTGTACTTCCTTAGATTCTTCTGTTTTTTCCTTCTCCCCCAAAACATTGGCATACCACAGGGTAGCGTCTTAAGTCCAATTTTCTATTCTCTTTACACCTCTGATATCCCTGAGCATCCTAGTACCACCATCTATTGCTTTGCTGAGGACACTGCTATTCTTTCTTCACACAAAAATTCTACTATCGCATCAATTGCCCCTCAAAACCACCTCCATGATCTTAAAAAGTGGTTTGAAAAATGGAAAATCAAAATAAATAGTAACTATTAGTACAAGTAACTAGTAAATATTAGTTTCTCTCTTAGGAAAGCCTCATGTCCACCCATAATGATTGCCAATAACCCAGTGCCTTCAAAGAGCTATTTATGATACCTTGAACTCTCCTAAGACAAAAGACTTACTTGGAACATATATACGAAATTAAAGACAAGAACTTACTAGACGATACAGCCAACTCTCACATCTTCTGGACTTCAGATCTTCAGTTAACTTTCGAAACATGCGATTGATTTACAACACCCTACTGAGACCAATAACATATGGAGCAGAACTTTGGGGTTCAGCAAAACAAACACACATATACAAAATACATCATCACAATAAAAAATTCTACAAAAATTGTTAACGCATCTTGGTACATTTCAAATAACACTACACTTAATGACTTAAACACCCCAACAGTAAAATCCTACATCCACGACAAATACACTACATTTCCTCCTTCAAACTAAAAATCATACCAATCCTCTGGTTCTTTATATTTCCTGCTCTCTGTTACCTGAATAGTGCAGATTAAAAAGAAAATGGCCAAGAGACTATGTCGATAAAAACTACTATATCGATAAAAACAAAATCAAGCAAAAACACCAAAACAATATAAATACAACAAATTTGCTAGATGCGCTGCTGCGTAGGTGCTAATTGTGTGGAATATAAATAAAATTAAAAAAAAAAATGTCTCTACCAGTGCTTATCCCCCAAGGCACTTCATTACCTGTAGCAAAAGTGATCTTATAATTAATTATTATATGATTTTTTTTTCAGTCTTGCATGTACTGTTGCTAGTATGTCTTCAGCTACAGTACCAAGTGCTGCTTTGGTTCTTGTATTGATGTTATGTAGTACTATCAATGCGCCGACAGAAGATGTTTCCTTGTTATTTGCTGTTGACTGGTTTGTGTAAGTATTGTAAGGTTTTAGACACTTTTAATATTAAAACATTTTCAACTTTAAAAGCACAAATATGAAAACATTTTAAAAGTAGTCTTCGAAAAAGGATGTCAAATATTTATTTCTTCGCATCTAATTACTATCTTAAGTATTCCTTTTCTTACTTTTAAATAATCTTTCTTGAAAATCATAATCTTTAAATAGAATGAATAAGAACTGTAAGCCATAACCAGTTTTGGACCATCACTTTTTCCTCTTGCTTTACATCCGTAACTTGTTACTTCCATTTTTTCAAGAATTTGTTTTAATTTAATTTTTCACAAGAACGTGATGTGAAAAACAACTTTTTTTTCAATACATATCAAGAAATATGATATTTTAAATTGGTAGTCATTTATTTATTTTTCAAAACTATTTTTATACTTCTTCATATTTATTTACTCTATTAAATTTGGAAAAAAATATTATTTTTTTTAATCCTAAAAATTGATGTAATTTTTTTTAAAAGACATGTCTGTATTTTTTTTTAGGGATCGTATGCGGACTACAAATAATCTCCTGGGTGATGTTTATGGTTGTGCTGTTGTTGAGAGCCTATCTAAAAAAGAGTTAGCTGTTCAAGAGGTACGTTGGTTCAATGTGTCAAGTTCTTTACTAAAAACAAAAAAAATATATAAATAAATAAAAGATGATAGTTCAGTACAATTCTTAGGGGAGCAGGAGAGCTCAGTGAATAAGGAACGCAGGCACATTTAAGTAATGAAAGCTAATATCTACATTTCAGGAGACAAAAAAGAACATTGCTTTTAATTTCTACATTGTGAATATTTTTTTATGTCTATACTTATGCCTTCTCCGAGTTTTAGATTTATGTTTATAAGATTTAGTTTTTAAAATACTTCTAATAAATTATTAATTTTTTTATTTATTTAACACCTCTGCCATTGTCTATTAGGCCATTCAGCTCAATTAATAAAAGTAATTAATTCTAAACATTAGATTTTTCTCTTCCAGATCATAATCCACCAATCTCCTAAGCCTCTGTTCCAATATTCTTGTATATAATTTATATACTACAGAGGATAGGCATATTGGTCTATAAAAATATGATTCAGGTCTTAACAGTAGTAAAAGTTACTTGAAATCATCGTTACCACGAGTATGGAGTTACTTTGTTGTATGGAGAATAATGCAGGAATTCATGTTTTCTCAATATCAACCTATCATTTCATGGAGCCTATTTGGAAAAAATGTTTGTACTATTTGAGAAGAAATAAAGAGATCCAAGACTTATTCAATCTCTGGGTTTCCCATTTCCTGCAAATTCAGTGCTTCAAATGGCTGGGACACTTAGTCAGGATTGATGATGGTAGAGCCGCCAAGGCAATTATATTATGGCCGGATAGATGGAGTCAGACCGCGGTAAATACCGGATGGAAGGTGGAAAGATTCGGTGGCTGAGGACTTGAGGATAGTCGAGGTGTCCAGCTGACACTTGCTATAGACCACAATGACAGAAAAGGCAGTTGAGAGTAGATGTTGGTAGGGATAGGAAGAGCTGAGAATTCACAATTAATAGATAGGGCACAGAGGTCTGATTATTTTGCAGAAAGCAAGATCCCGCACCAGTCTCCTCTCCTATCCTGCTGTTACTCTTCCCATTTTGCCCCTTACAATATATTTCAATAAATATCGGGCCCCTAGTGATAGTGTCCTAGTTTTCAGTTCAGAACTTATGTTGAAATTAACGTCAATTAGACATGAATTAATTACAATTAATTATGGTTATATTTTCAGGATGAGGATACAGTAACAACAAATGTCAACGGGAGTACTTCTCAAGTCAGTAATGGAAGTTGTATTATAGATTTTGCAAAAAATGAAAATACTCAAATGTAAGAGCTTTCCTGTTTACACTTATTAAATTTATTACTGCATTGGTTAACTACACACATATTTTGATAAAACTGTTTTTTCAAAAATGTGTAGATTATCGTATTTGTAACAAGGTACAATGATTGTTACCTTGCCTCTTGAAAATTTATATTAGATTAAATAATAATTTCAGTAATAAGTATTATTTTAATTAAAAAAAACTGGATGTCAGGTGTATACTGATTGGTCTCAGATTTATAAAACCTTTACCCACAAAAGGTTAACTTTTTGACGCTGACATCTGGGGAAAAGTATTGTTAATTTGTATCATCGAGAAGCAATATATTTATATTTTATTATTTCTCAGATTGAAGTTATCAACTTTGTACCTTTTATTTAAATAAATTAGTCATTTAATATTCTTAGTTGCCTACCAAATAATGAACTAAGAAGATTCCCTAAAAAAGATTCCTTTTTGTGATATAGAGCACTGTTAGAAGTAATTTATGAGAATGTTTGCTTTATTTTTCTACTTGTATATTTCTGCTAGTTTTTATTTCAACTTTAATTTAATTTAATATTTATATTTATGTGACCTCTTTTCTGAAAGAAAAGATGTTGGGATTCACATTGTAAATTAGTTTTAATTTTACATTATTTTAAAAAATAAAATTGTAAATTTTAATTGTAGAAACCTAACATATTCTGTAGGCTTATTTTTCGTTTTACTATTATGATGTATATATGGACTGCTACATAAGTTCAAAAAGTTCTATAGATATAAACCATATTTTTCAATAAATAATATTTTAACATAATAATGAAATCGATTACATATCATTTCTTATGCGATTAATTATTGAAGTTATTTGTAATATTGGGATCTTATAAAAGCTTAATTTTCTATATCCAAAACATGAGATCACCTTTATATAATGAAATTAAACTATAAAGTAACTTTTTATGATATTAAAAAATATGCAAATGCTGTGCATTTGAACATTATTATTTTATACTTCAAAAATTAATCTACATATATATATGTTTAATACTAATTGTGTTATTGAAGTCGAATTGCATAATTATTACATTTTGGGTGTTTGTTGAAAATAAAATTAACACACCAGAAATGACAAGGATATTTTTTTCTGCTTCTTTGAGTATTGTGATTGGTATAGTATTGACACTTCTAAGTTTGTTTATATATATATATATATATATATATATATATATATATATATATATATATATATATATATACAAAATTATTGAATTTACTATAACATATAATACTTTCACCAAGTTAATACTAATTTTTTGTTTGACAAGGAAGCCAATTGTTAAGGAATTAAATTAGTATGAGACAACTATATATCAAATTTTAAGGTTAAAAAAAAATCATTGATCATCTTTTTCATCACTGACAAATATTAAAATCAGAGGCATTTAATTCAAGTTAAAGGAACATTTTATGGGTTAAAGAAAAGTAAATAAATTGCAAGATTCATACTTTTTTATGTATAGTGTGTGTTATTACGTATTCAATAAAGAAGAAAAATAAAATATTGCTGTAGCATGGAGTAATTGAATTAATGATTTTTAATCATTTATGTTCTCTACCAAAACTTTCAATAACGTTTTGGTAATAGGGATAATGGTCATAAAATCAAGGACAAATTCCTCTCAACTCCCCACCTCTCCTCTGAAATGGAAAGAATGAACATAATGGGTGTACAGTTGGCTTCCAAAAGAACTAAAACAGCCAAAATAAAGTGGTTCCTTTGTCTATTTTCATAAATTTATTTATTTTTTTGGCCTTAAGACTTGTCACAGCAAGTCCTATTTTGCATTAAATTTACTTGAATGTCATTTGAAAATTATGTACCAAACCCAAATGCGTAGTTGTGCTCTTTGTAGTTTAAGTGTAAAAAGTTAGAATATATATTGAAGTAATAAATATTAAAAAACTAGTTATGCCTACAGCCGTCCGTGGACAACAAAGAATTTTGCAGAAATTTTCTGCTTCTATAGAGACGTACATTTCTTCCTTCTTCTTTTTTTTTTTTTTACATGTTACATTCAAACTGAGGATGTTATCTCACTGATATCGTCAATTCAATTCAAAAATGTTAACTTGATCAAGCAGTTGAAAAAAAAAAGATAAATAAAGCATTGAAGCATGTTCCATACATCACAATAATATTAGAGAAATATTGTTACTAACTATCCAAGCTTATGTTAAGTATTTATAAAATAAAGACCCGATACTGATTTCTATTTGTCCAGATACCTTCATAGTGTGTTAATATTTCTAAAAGTCCTCAAAATATTAAATACATTTAAAAAAATAAAAATTGTCATTACTATTATTATTATTATAGATATCACTTTAAAATTTTCCAGCCCATAAGAATGTATCTATTAATCATGAAATTATATGTTGTCAGAAAGCCATCGAAGTATGAAGAACTTTTGTAAGCTTTGTTTGTTATTTGGAAATACTGTGATGAGGGCCTCTTGCCTTCTAATAGGCCTATTTTGTAACAGTAAAGTAAATGGTATTAATGTGATATCGTAATATTGTATTTATAGGAAACTAGGGTACAGGCAAGACGTTCCTAGGGTAAAAATTAATACCTAAGGCATTTATTAAAATTGGCTGATTGTTGTTAGTTTATGTTATAGATTGATAGTAACTTTAATGTTTAATTACTCGGTGTTTAGAAGTTGAATATGCACACTTGTGTGAACCTCGTGATTTTTTAGACAATATAATATACATTGGTGCTTCATAATGTAAAATCATTAAGATTTCGTATTAAATCATGTTCTTGTTAGTTTTAAGAATATTAATTGAAAAGACTTTAGAAGTGGAGAAATTTCTCATTTTGTATGTTAGTTAATTATTCTGTGACCAAGGCGAAAAACCTGTTGTCATTAATGCCTATTGTGAATATTATGTAGAGCATTGAAGGTTTGAAAAGATTGATAATAATATAATAATTAACTTCTTGGCTACTGATGTAGTTTTTACGATTGCAATTTTATTATATTATTTCTCTTTTATTATTATTTTTATTTGTGACTGTAGCTCTTAAAATATTATGACTAGTACTAGCCCAGGATCAGAACAGGTATTTTAGATCCTTGTTTTCTGAAAAAATATAATCATAATTCATATCTTGATTTTTTTGTTTATTAACTTATTAATAAAAAAATAACTAGTGGTCTCAAGATCTTAATGATGGATATTATTATTTTTTGTTTTATAATATCAGTCATTATTGTCAGAGAATATGATTATCAAAATGTTTTCTGAATTAAAACACTTTTATTAACTTTGTAAATTAAAAAAAAAATAATATATCCTCAGAGAATTGTATTATACATTTGACCCACCATTAACACGAAAAAACAAAACACTAATGATATTTAGTTTTTGGACAAATTTTCATCTTCCTTTTTTTATGAGCCACCCTTGTTAATACTTTCCTGGCCTTTCTCCCCTTCCTCAAAAATTAATGTGAGGTTTGAGTGCTTTCCCTTTGTTTTTATGAGTAATTCTTTGCCTTATTGAGAACATAGAGAGATAATGGAGAAAATAAAGAGAGGATAAAAAAAATAATTAAATTCACTTGAAGAAAACACATTCTAATAACCATTTAATTCTGTTAATATGTTCCCTAAGAATAATGTTTTATTTTCCATTTCCACATTTTTTTATTATATACTTGAAGTGTAAACATTTATTTAAATTACAAAACATCAAATGTATCAGTATTAATGTGTGTTAAAATTAAAGTAATTAATATTTTGTTAAGGTAATATTTCAACTTTTGTACAGGCAAGGGATATTTTGCTTTTATATGATATATTTTTCAAATAAATGAAAAAGAATTAGGGAGAATCTGGTCCTGCTATTGTAAAATTGAAATGTAGTTTTTGAATGCAGAGCTTTAAAATAAAAGTGTAGAAATGTAACTTTGAACTTATTTTTCTATAAGCCTCAAGGGATCCTGTTATATTTTAAAATAAACGCAATATATTCATTCAGCTCTCAATAACTCAAAGGAATGAAAAACGAAATGTGATTTTGTATGTTTCTTGGGCATTTTGAGTTCTAAAGGTAGTATTTAATTTTGGATGCTATTGTTTATCACAGGACTAGAGTTATTAAGAATCAATTATTGTTAATTTATATAACAATTAATATCTTAAAAAATATTTTGTTGAATCCCTTAGGATCATTTGACTGGTTTTGTTCTTTTAATCATAGAAACAGGAAATATTTTAAACTTTTAAAATCCAATATTTCTGCTTGATTTTCTAAAATTTTAATCCGTCCATTTTAAATTATTTAAAAGTATTATCTATTCTGAAATTGAGTTTTTTAAAACAATTAAATCTTCGTAGACAGTTGAATTTATTATTATTTTTTTTTTTACAATAATACATTTTAATGGTTTATTGCAAAAAATTCATTAAGTGACATTTCATAACCTTAAACAGTTCGGAACTTTAAAGAACTTTCCTTTTTTGAAATCAGAAAATTGTGTGCTTTTAACTTATATTTGATATATAAAAGGGTTCATGTCATTATCAGGCACTTACAATGTTTTTGTATCGATAAATAAAGTAAAAATTCACAAAAATATATTTGAAAGTTGACTTATATAAAAAATGCACTTAGTGACAACTTAAAGTAATAATCATATTAAATAAAACATAAACAATTTTTTATCAATACAATTTATCATACCTGTTATAGAGAGTTTTATAAAGGACCAAAATAGAGAAGACGGGTAAAATAATTATTAACTTGCCATAGTTAATTGTGAATTCCCTCACTATCCCTAGCCAATATACTTTAGAAATGTCTGAATTTAAATATAACATTATATCTTTGTATGTTTGTTCAATGCTCTACCCTTTGTAAGAATAGACATTATTATTGTCAGTCACTTTTATAATTTAGCAGACGTTAATTGAGAAATTAAAAAGTATTGGTAAGTATATGTAGATACAGTTAGCTATTTTTAAAGGGATAGTTATTTTTAATAACTATTCCTTAACCTTTGTAATACTGAATTATTATTTCTACATATTATATAATTGTAAAAATCCATAATAAAAGGTTAATTAATTTTTCATTATTTTATTACTTAAAACCTTTCTATTTGATCAATGAATAAACTCACATAAGTAGGATTAGTTTTAATGAAATTTGCACAATTTTATAACTATGATCTATGAAGGGTGAAGACTTGAGCAATAATCTGTTTCTGTTCAATTCCTCCTCATTTGGGAGCACCTCCCATATGGTTGTTAGGTTTCAGTTTTCTCCTTTACCGCTTATTATAACATACCTGAGGGCTTCCTCTGGTGCTCTAGGAGTGGGGTGATTTGCTTCATCTTGCCAGTTCATCATAGGATGAGTTTGGATCTCCATTTCAACCTTAGGATATGGTAGCATCAAGAAAGTAGCAAGAAAGAACTGTTGGCGGTGGGACGGATTGAGCCACTGCAACTCGGAGTAATACTGGGTTATATGCGTATCTCTTAAGATCCAAAAACAAAGCATATTCAGCAATTCATTAAACATTTAAGTTTGGCTTCGAGTTCTCCAGAGAGTCCACCATACGCCGCACATCCATAGCCGAAGTGGGGTAAAACAAGTGAGGAAACAAGGAGTTGATGGGTTCTGAATATTTCCGTCTCTCATATAGGAGCCACATGTCTAGTTGACACTGCAGTCTCTCTTCCATCCGGGAGTCTTACATAGGAATATTTCAAATTTCCTTCTTGTAAAAATACCTCATCAACATATGGGTCATATTTCTAATGACGAACAGATCTCTTCATGAGGACTGGACCGGGTTTGGTTAATCATGTCGGTACTCCCATTCCCAAACTGCAATGGCGATGGAAATTAAACATGCTTCATGTGATGTATTGGTTGATGTCCAAATGAGTGAACGGACTGAATGTAGTGTTTCATGGTAAACATCCTTCATTTAGAAATATCAATATTTTGACTCCTTGCTGCCAGCTCAATAGTCTTCCAAACTACCCCTAAGTAACGTTCACATTTTCTATTCCCTTGGGGGTTGTAAGCTGTAGTTCGACTAGTAGCAACACCAACGGTCGTTAGAAAAGATTTCATTTATGAGACAAAAAGTATGAATCCCTGTCAGTATGCAAGTACGCAGGTGTGCCGAAAATTGGAAAAAGTTCCTTAAGTTTTGTGATCACAGTCCTGGATGGACTGTTTTGTGATCACAGACATATCTTGGTATGGAAACGCGAAAGGAAATCTCGAATATTCGTCAATGAGTATCAGTAGATACCGATTTTTTGAAGACGAAGGCAAAGGGCCTTTAAAATCTATTACGATCCTTTCTAAAGGTTGTGTTGCTTTGATAAGTGTTCCTTCAAACTTGCAAAATTTAGGTTTTATTTCAGCGCAAATAGATAATGAGATTATTTTTCATATTTCTTTTAATGAGTAGGGAAGATTTTTAGTTCGTACCCAGTGGTAAAACCTTGTTTCTCTCGGATGACATAGCATTTCATGTAGACTTCTTAACTTGGGAAGAGAACTCCCTATTGAAGAGCAGCTTCGTGAAAGGGTATCAGCAGCCCTATTCTCACTCCCTGGCCTGTATATAATTTTATATTTATAATTTGAGAGTTCCAATCTCCATCTCATTATTTTTTCGTTTTTCTTTATCTCTGCTAAACATAAACGAGACTGATCGTTGATCCGTTATCAGACGAAAGTTCCTGCCAAGAAGGTAGTGTCTCCACTTCCGCAATGCCTCTACAATGGCATACGCTTCTTTTTCAATAGATGAATGACGTTTTTCAATCTTAGTTGGAGATCTTGAAAAAAAAAAAGCAACCGGTTTCTTATCTTGGGATAACGGTCCGGTTTATCCGGAATAATATCCGATAGCAAAGTCAGAAGCATCAGTTTCTGAAGTTAGTGTAGCATTGTTATCCATCGATGATACCACTGCGTTTTGGATGTCCTGTTTAATGTTTTCGAATGTTCTTACATCCTGCAAATTTAGATGTAAGAAACTTTTGACAAGTACTTGAATTTTTTCTACAAACTTTGGTATAAATGATGCATAATGTGCGAACGGGCCAAGGGTCCGGCGTAGAGATGATGTGTTAGTCGGGATAGGCAAGTCGCGAAGAGGTTGTAACCGCTCAAGATCCGGGCTGATTGATTTGTGGCTAATGACGAATCCTAAAAGGTTAATCGTGGACCATGAGAACTTACTTTTATCCAGGTTTAAGGATAAATTGTACTTGTTAACAACCTTTAAAAACTTTTCTAAATTACCACAGATGTTAACGTCGTCCAAATATATCTCAATTCCTTTAAGATGGCATGTAGTGTAGTATGGCATGCCATAGTAGATTGGCTCAATGGTGGATTGAGCCAAATATTGTTGGACTGATGTTCCGTGAGTTCCAGAGATCTCGCTTGTGTAAATGCTTCTTCTAGAGTTCATGGGCAGTTTTCCAACAAACCATTCCTAACTCCAAACGGGTTAGGTAGTATTATAATGTCTGAACATAATTTTTTGAGGATACTAACTAACTTTAATGTCGTCGTAATTATGATCCTGTAAACCAAGATTTATTCTGCATTTACCGTTGATTTGAAATTTTAGAGGAGTAGATGCCATAGCAACATCTTCTATTTTACAGAGGAACACAGGAATATTTAGCTTAGAGACAGTGGACTGATTTATGAAAGTACTGATACTCCCAGTATCTATCAAACCATGTGCATTGGAGCCATTAATCTTTACTATATCAGCAGCTTTATTTAAATTTTAAGGTAAAGATGCCAAATAATTAGAGGAGTGAGTCAGAGAATGAGACGATGCGGAATATTTTTTTTTTTTACAAAGGTTCTGGTAGTAGTCTTGTATGCCATAGCCACTACAAGTAGCATCCCAGGGTGGACAGACAGATGGACCTATTTTGTTTATTTAGGCACATTAGAAGTAACATTTTGAACTGATTGAGGAAACCGATTGAGAAGCAGATTGAGAATCTTCTTCGTTAGGGCTTGTTTCTGATTTTTTGTTTACTGAGGCAGCATTAATGGTGGATTGAGCCAAATATTGTTGGGACTGATGTTCCAGAGATCTCGCTTGTGTAAATGCTTCTTCTAGAGTTAATGGGCAGTTTTCCAATAATCTCTGACGTATACGAGTTGATAACAACCCATCTATGAATGCATCTCTTATACTGATTCGTCTCTGTTGATTGAGGCACTGACAGCTTTAAAATTGCAGTTCTTAGACAAACGTTTAAGAGATTCAATGTACCTGTCAATTGCCTCCCCGGGCTCCTGCGTCGAGTCTTGAGTTTAGGTCGGGCGTAGATTTCATTTATGGGTTTAGTATAAAGACTATTCAAAATAGCGATTGCATCATTGTAAGTTCTCGATTTACTGGTGTAAAACAATTTAGACATCAATCTCTCTTCTCCGACGTCTAGATGGTTGAGGATGATCGTGAACGAGAGAATATCCAATATTATCGCTGATAGACAAGGTCCATAATCTAAGACTATCCCTGGTAGTCTTGGTCCAGAATGTGAGACTATTCCCAGTAATAAAATATAATTAAATATATCACTATAATTTCTCCTTTTGTAAATACTTGGAGTTTTGAATAAAAATGAATCCTCACCGACACGACAGAAAGCTCCTTCTTGGGCTTTTCAAGTGATTTTCTTTGGTATTTTCAATCTCATTATGGGATCACAGAATAAGTACGATATGAGAGAACGAAGAAAGTCACGAACAGATTTAGTCTCTTGGTTCTCTCATATCGTACTTTCCGACATAGGCAGATCTACGGGGGAGGGGGCTTTCGGGCTGAAGTCCCCCTCAAAATGGTAAAATATAACCATGTTTTACACAAAAAAATATTAAAAACTATCTCTTAAAGCATTCTTGTTCGTTTAACTACATTTAATAGGACTTCAGGAACCACTTAAACACCATTTCATATAGGTAGTTAATTTCTTTCTTTCTTTTTTTCAAATTATTGTTATGAAGATTTATGAAAAAAAAACCTTTCGGGCTGAAGCCCCCCCAAAATTAAATCTTGGATCCGCTAGTGCTTTCCAATACCAAGTATGGTAAGTATGTTATCGGAAGGTAAATATCGATACCAAAAGTACTTGTTATCGAAAGACAAGTATCGATACTATATTTATAACGTTCGGTATCGGGTAAACCTACCCTACCGCCAATAGCTGCCATTAGTTCAGAAGACCTGGGAGAGTTAACTTCGCTTGTTGCGTTTATCTCACACGTGCACCATGAAGTATATTCTGGTAACAGGTGGTGTAATTAGTGGAGTTGGTAAGGGAGTTATTGCGAGTTCTTTTGGGACTCTACTAAAATCTTGTGGCATTAACGTTACAAGTATAAAAATAGACCCATACATTAATATTGATGCTGGGACTTTCTCACCCTATGAGCATGGTACAGTTCTATTATATATATACAACTTTTTGCCAATTATTTTAATTGATTCTATGTACCTCAAACATTATGTTTGTTTAGGTGAAACTTATGTCCTGGACGATGGTGGAGAAGTTGATTTAGATTTAGGGAACTATGAGAGGTTCCTTGATGTAACTTTACACAAGGATAATAACATCACAACTGGCAAAATATACCAAGATGTGATTTTGAAAGAAAGAAAAGGATTTTACCTTGGAAAAACTGTGCAAGGTAAATTTTTATCTTACAACACTAAGTTTAAAATGGTTTTCCAAATTCGATTTGTTTTAATGTGTATTATTGGTTCATCAAGTAATTTATTTAGGTTTAATTATGTTTTATAACTAATTATTTATTAAATTTCAGTTGTATGTATTTAAATGGTTATAAATCAAAGTTGTAAATCAGTATTTTTTTCAAAGTTGAGATTATTTTACCAAGTAATCTAAGTTAATCATGTTTAATAATTAATTATTGGTTAAATTCTTCTATATGTATTAATATGGTTTTCTATCAAAAGTGGGAATCTGTCATTTTGGGAACATTGAGAAAAAGGCAAATTTTGTTTACATAGCTTCAATTTAATTCTAGTAATTTTTTTATTTATGTTTTTAACCTTAAAATTTGTTTAAATTACAACTATATAACAAATATTTTGTTTTTCTCTACTTTTTGACAACAATTGATGTCTATTTTGGAGAAAAAACAAATCATTTTTGTACTGTATTTGAAATACAGATTCACATCATTTTAGTCTTATCCTGTCTTTAATGATGATAAAATATATATATTTCAAAGCTTAAATATTGACTCGTTCTAAATATTATAAATATTTATTGTTTTTCTCACAATGTGCTGAAACCATGACTCCCAGAGTTAATAATAACTTCTTTGTTTAATCTTGTCCCTTGTAACCGCAGATTGTGTCTTTTCAATAGACTTAAAAGCTCCGGTACTAGTTCACATTTGTTTCGCATGGATTACGCGTGGTTCACAATCACTTCGATCACACTTGTTCATGGAATCCCGAAAACAGCCGAATGTTGGCTTCTTTTATGACATCAGCTATTGCCTCATCACACAATCCTTTTTCATGCATTATTGAAAAACAAAAAAGATTATTCCCTTCATGGAACTTCCTTATGAACAATTTATTAACGAATTGTGTATTTATTATCTACTTAATTATTATTTTTTATTATAATGGTTATCACTGTGAAAGAAAAAGAAAAAAATACATAAAATAATGTTCGATTCGTTTCTTCAAGGCCTGTTAAAAAAAAAAATGCTTTTAGTAATAACATTTTTATTGACACGTGCTTACATGTAGTGGCTGTAAATACGCATATACTGTATATTATCTTTTATAACTGTGTATGAAAGATTTTTTTACCATTTGGATAATAAATAATTTGAAGTTATCTGTTATCTTTTTTATTTGTTATTCGAGTTTTTCAATAGAAGTTAGAATAATTGAATTTATAATTTATTTTAGCTAGGCTTTTTTAGAATTGCGCAATTGTCTATCTAGTTAATGTAATTTTTTAGATTTCTAATAATACGAGGGTCCACTATTTTCTAGTGGGGGAGGGTGAGGGGAGGGGCGCTTTGTATGCATATACTGTCTGATTTGAGATTGAGCATCAAGTTTATGTTACTTTTTTGAATTCTTAGATATACGGATCCACTATTTTTTAGTCGGAGCTTTTCATGAATATACTGTTGGATTTAAAATTGTTTGTAGATTTTTGGATTTCTTTTATATAAGAGTCCACTATTAAGTTGTCAAGGATGCTTTTTATGAAAATAATGTCAGATTAAAGATTGCGCGAGAAAAGTGTACAAAATTAATAAATAAAATGTATCTTATCAATCGTTATATAGATAAATATTTATTCCAAAAATGTCCAATCCCAATGAGACTCGTAGATTTACCAGTTATTTAACTGTTAACTTAAATTTTATTTTTTCTGAATGAATTAGCTGTGTAATTATTGTTATTCGCAGGTATTTTTCTTGCTAATTCGAAAATGGAGGTTATTGTAGTCATTGGTAAAAAAAAAAAAAAAAAAAAAAAAAAAAAAAAAAAAAAAAAAAAAAAAAAATCGTGTTTATTTTTGAGAAAGGAATTAATGTATTGGGGAAACAACTGACGAAGAATATCTGATAATTCTAAGATAATGAATAATGGAAATCATCAATAAGAAAAATAATATCGTGAAATAGCATTCAGAGATGTAATAATTAAAGGTTTTTATCTATTACTATTTCTTTTTTACAGATCTATAATATATGTACACGTTCAATTCAGGTTTCATGATGTGTAGCCTAAATTTCGAATGTAAGTCGGCTCCTGCTATATAACGGAACATGGTTAAGGTTATAGAAGGACTTAAATGGCGGGAAAGTTAATAGTAACTGGCCCAAGAGATCGGTTGCCTTCATTCTCTTTCAGATAAACCTGAACACATTCAGGATTCCATGAACAAGTGTTACCGAATTGATTATGAACCATGCGTAATCCGTGCGGAACTCTTGTGAACTAGTACCAAAGCTCCAATAAACCGTAAATTAATCGAGTAATTGTTCTCAAATTATGGCATGAACACTTTTATGGTTGTTTAAATTATTGTGCAATTAATATGATTTACTGCTAATCTTACTGCTTGTAATTTTAGTGGTGCCACATGTAACTGACAGAATTCAGGAATGGGTTGAAGAAGTAGCCAATAGGTCTGTCTCACAAGATGGAAAATTACCTGAAGTAAGTTTTTATCATTAATAAGGCAGATCTTTCATGGGTGGTTACATATGGTTACCAATCTCATTAATCATGTAACGGGTCTTTTTTACTTTAGGTATGCCAGTTACTTTTAAATAGGAAAAGTATCAGTTATGTTTGAATCAATGTTGTTATTCTTCTGTTATTTAAATTATATTGAAACTTATAAAAAAATGCTTATTCAAGTTTTTAATCTTTTTTTTTTCTAGTTAATTGGCCACTAAGTTTTTATTGATTGTAGTATTCTTTAAAAGCAAGTTCTCTTTTTTCCTTGTCATCGGAAAATATACCTTCATGATGTATCCTTTCCTACATTTTTTGTTCCTGTGCAGTATCTCGTACTTTCCAAGTGCCATAAATGAAGCTACCCTTTAAGCAACGACTTAGCTTTATTAAATTCATAGTAAACACAAACACAATAGGAGAAAATTGTATATAACCTGCTCCAAATACAAAACAACATATGGCGTAATACTAGCTATTACTTCTTTTTTATAACAGATACTTTTCCCATTTAAAAATAACTGGCATATCTAACCCATGTGATAACCAGTTATAGAAATATCACATCCGTGTCAATTGTTTAATGACCTGTGCAAGGACTGCCTAACTTCACTTTTGGTTTGAAAGTTGACTTTCAATTTTATTAATTCTTTTTTTCTCTATTTATTTGATGTATTAGATTTATTATAAGAAATATTTTAAAAGATGTACAAGGTCTGTAAGATAAAAAAAAAAAAACAAACTTGTAATATGTTCGAGGAAGGAGATGGTCTGGAGTGGCGGTCATAAATAGACTAAAATAGTGGCAAAACTATTTACTCTGACAAAACTGATATTCAGTTTTAAGTGAAACTCCTTGCTGAACACACCTCCCTGAAGAAGACCTGCAAAGTCTGGTCGAAACGTTGGCTTTAAATAAAATAGTTTTGCCACTACTTTAGTCTATGACTGCCGCCCAGGGCCATTTTCTTCCTGTATAATAAACGGTCAACTATTAAGTATTTATTATAATATATTTGTTTTTCAGTTATTTCTAGGGACTGTTACTATTAAAAATAATAGTTCATAGCTATGATTTATTGTGTTAAAAAAGTGAACTAGAACAAACAATATTTTACAGATCTAGTTATCACTTATAACAGGTTATAATTAAGATAAATAGTTCGTGTTCGTCATTGCTATCACTTTTGCTTACTCGGATCGAGGCTTATTTAGTTTATAAACAAATGATATACAAGTCCTAAAGATAATAATGTTTATTTTAAAAATCCTTACCATTTCTAGCAAATAATGATATTATTATGCCTGTAGGAACACGTCATCCTATTTAATTTTTTTATAAGATTAACAAATGACAATAAATTATAAATTAATTTATAGTCAATAATTAAGTAATTAATTTAATATTAATATAATTCATTTATGACAATAAATGTTAACATGTCGAATGAGGTGTAATACAAATCTTAAAAATGAATATTTTTGTTATTAATAAGAACTTATAGTAATTAATTATTACTACTAATAACCCTTTCATGTTCCTTTACTCTTCTTGGTTTTGTTTTCCTATCTTTGATATCCTCATAGAGGAACTAATATCATGTTTTTACAAACCTTATTATGTAATTGCAAAGCCCTTCCATAGATCTTTGATTTTTTTTTAAATTTATTTATTTTTTATATAATTTGAATCTCTAGGATTCTACAATTTAGAATATTATTGATATATTTCAATAAGAAGATATTTTAAATCCTTCCATTCAATTGCGCAATGTTACACAGTGCTCACAGAAATATAGATAAGTGTTCATAACTGACTGTAGCCCGTCCACGAACTTCCTTCGCTCCCTTTCGGGTTCAAGCAAAACAAAAACCGACAGCCTTCGGAGCACTCATGCATGTTTGCGAATACAGTGGATACCAGGTTAAAGAGTGCTTGACAACAACTTCTACATGCAATTGACTAGGAGTCAGGCATCAGTATCTATTGTTGATAGTGATATTTAGTGTATTGTATTGCAACCCAGCGTATTTGATCTATATTTGTTATTCATGACTTTTATTTGATATAGGTTTGCATTATTGAACTAGGAGGAACTATTGGAGATATTGAAGGAATGCCATTTGTTGAAGCATTTCGTCAGTTCCAGTTCCGAGTGAATTTAGAAAATTTCTGTGTTGCTCACGTATCATTGGTGCCACAAGTGAGAGAAATATTATTTTTCATATTTTCGCATTTACATTCTTGAATACAATATTATATTTTCAATTTATTTTTTATTAGCCTAAAGCAACTGGAGAACCTAAAACAAAACCTACACAAGCCAGTGTGAGAGAGTTACGTGGCCTGGGTTTGTCACCAGACCTTGTGGTTTGTAGGAGTGAATGCCCAATCACAGAAACTGTTAAGAAAAAAATTTCCATGTTCTGTCATGTGCCTCCAGAACAGGTAAGCAATAATGTCTATGTTTCATTGATTCAGTTTTTGTCCTTATTTTTTTTTTTTTAATGAATAGCTCTATGCAAAGGCTTTTCTTATTTTCCAGTTGTTTCAAAACTTGTATCATTACTTTAAAGAACATTTTATTACATGTCGCCCATTAATTGCAAAACATACAATTTTAATGCGTACATATGGTGTGTAAGTACGAAACTGGAATTTTCATACAGAAAATTCATGTTTATTGCACATAAATTTTATTAAATATTTTATTTCAAATATTGTCCATTGACTTAGCTGTACATTTTCTCCATCTCTCAAGCAATTTATGAATGCCATGCCAGAAAAACTGTTGATCTTTGTTGGCAAACCAGTCATTAAACCATTTTCATAAGAAGTGAAGCACTGCTGAGCAAATGCCTGCCTCATCAATAGCAAATGAATAGTAGTTAGGCAGAACCAAGTTTCATGAGTGAGCCATATGTACAAATATTTCCCAACTGAATGCCTCAGTCGTATCCTTCACTAGTTTAGCTGTATTTGAAGGTGTATTATCATGAAGCAAAATCACTTTCTGTTGCCTCTTTTTGATATTCTAGTCATTTTTCAAGCAATAATCTATTCTAATTGATCATGTGTTGTTGAGAGCTCTCAGTATTAACAGTTTTGTGTCAGGTCTTAGCACATCTTACTATTTTTCAGTGATCTACATTCGTTACTTCTCAAGTCATATGCCACTTCTGAAATTTTTAAACCACCGAAAGCTTATTTACTAGGAGCATGTTCACTGTAAGCTTTGACAAGCATTCAATGTGGTGCAGCAGTTTTCTTTAAATAATAACTGAGAAATGGTGGCCTCCTCCAGCAGCCAATTGTTACATTCCCTGCAGCCGACATCCAATTCCGAAGCCCCATTATATTTGTTGCATCAGCAGGAACACCATCAGCCCATCGCAGCTTTGGTCTTCCTCTCCTCCTGGTACCATGGAGTGGCTCCATCAATAAATTGTCTTGGTGGATCCTCACGGCCCATCCTAACGATGTGTCCTGCCCATCTCAGTCTTGGAATTTTATTCACTCCAACTATATCGGATTCCTTAAACATGGTGTACAGTTCCTGGTTTTTCCTCCTATGAGAAAACCACCATTTATGCGTCTGAGGATTCTTTTTTCAAAGACTAGGAGTTCCTGTTCACAAGCCCGGGAGTTAGTCCAAATCTCACAACCATACAGCAAGACTGGACGCACTATCGTCTTATAAAAACAACGTTTTGATTTTCTGGAAAGAGCTGTATTCCGGAACTGCCTTGCCATAGAAAAATAGCACTGATTTGCCACTATAATCTGACACCGAATCTCTTGTTCAGGTGCGTTGTCCTGAGTTACCAATGAGCCAAGATATAAAAAAAACATTAGTCTTCTCGAATTGGTACTCCCCGAAAGTCACTTCCTCTCGAGGCCTAGGCATCTCTCCCATGACCATATATTTTGTTTTTTCACTGTTGACTTCCAAGCCAAGTCTTCTCGCAGACCACCAGACCATGGAAAGCGTCCGATACAGGCTGGAAGGAACTGTAGTAAGGAACTGAAGGTACGCAAGGAGCTGTACAGATCTATAAAAGATGTTAAATCAAAGAATTAAATAAAGATGAGAAATCATAGCTTATTGGTATAAAATTATGTTAAAAATAGTTCAGATTATTTGATATTTAATTTAATAATAAAATTAATATTTAGTTTTTGCAACAAACTGATATGAATGCTTTTTAAAACTATTATTGCAAGGTTATAAATATATTACATTCAGTTACTATGTTTGAAAACATAGTAAGGGAAAGGATAGGGATTATAAAAAAAAAAATTAATCCAAGTTTTCAACAGAAATGCAGGATTGAGTCTAAATCCTATTACAATTATTTCATTGAATTGGAATTCTTTTTATCTGACCTGGAAAAGTCAGAGAATTCCATCAAAAGGCTTAGGTAGGTAGATGCCCTGAAAACAGTACAGCAAGGAGATCTATATAAGTTACTTTTGGTTAAATCATTATTGTTTTTCTTATTTTTTGATATAATATAGTATTTTGATATAATGAATACTTCATTATTCCTTATTTTTTTTTTTTTAAATATTAGGTACTCTGTATTCATGATGTCTCGTCAATTTATCGTGTACCATTGCTTATGGACAAGCAAGGGATTTTAGATTTTTTTATTAAGAGACTTAAGTTAAATATCCCTTTCCCAAGGCCTCGGAAATATATGCATAAATGGAAAAGTTTAGCAGATAGGTAATTTATTAATTTTTAATTTTTTTTTTTTTTTTTATGAAAGAAATATAAATTAAAAGAAAAAAAATCTAGTAAATCATTGTTTCTTACAGAGTTGACTCATTAAGGAAAGAAGTAAACATAGCTCTAGTAGGAAAGTATACTACCTTAGAAGATGCGTACGCCTCAGTTTCAAAAGCCTTACAACATGCAGCTGTAGCGGTTGGTTATAGGGTAAAAATTACGTACATTGAGTCTGTCGACTTGGAAAAAAATAGTCAGGCTGCCAACTCCGTGTCATACCATGAAGCTTGGCAGAAGTTGTGTAAAAGCGAGTAAGTATTTGCACTTTATTTATTATTAATAGTGCATGAAATTTTCTTCTTATTTATTATTAATAGTGCATGAAATTTTCTTCTTGGAGTTTTAAGTGTTAAGTGAATTTTTGGTAATCATAAAGCATTGATAATGAATCTAAATACTGATCCTTACTTATTTTGGGCGGGTTTCCACGGTAGACTAAAAACCCTCAAATTCAAATTAATCACACCTGAAATGTTTACAATAACATATTTTTTATAATTTTGTTTTATATTGCAAGAACTTAACGTACCTAGATAACTAAATGGGCAGCGAAGCCATGGTAGTGCAATTGCCTACCATTTTCCAGATTGATTGACATTTACAGTTGGAACAATTTTTCTAATCTGGCTGGTATTTTCTGTAAAAGTTTCAGCTTTATATATCAGTCTATATAACAGTTATATTATATTAGGCTAGTATATTAATTGAGTTAAATACACTTCATTACAGCAATATCTGTATATGCATGAATGCAGTAATGATATAAATTGAATTGAACAAAATTAATTTGTGGTTTAACAATATCTCCCACATTTAATCATTTTTTGAAAGAATGTCTTAGAATCGAAAAGCAAATAACTTTTTGTTCCTTATATATTTATTAGTCCTTCTAAATATTTATTATTCATTTAATGTAAATAAATTAATTTTTTATTGATTTAAATTTTAATTATTTAACATTTCTCATACAAATTTTTTAAACCTGAAGACATATGTTTTATATACCACAGTCCTGGCAGGTAGCATGATATACTATTTTTCCTATAAAGGAAGAAGATGGTCCGGGGTGTCAGTCATAAATAGTCTAAACTAAATAAATAGTGGCAAAACTATTTTATTAAAAGCCAACGTTTCGACCCAACTTTGCAGGTCTTCTTCAGGGAGGTGTGTTCAGCTAGGAGTTTCACTTAGAACTCTTTCTAAGTGTAATTCAGTTCTAATTATTTTCTTGTTATTTATATACTTCAAACTAGTTTATCAAATAATTTCACATGTTATCACACATTTATACATGTTTATTCACATTCATTCACTTCTTTGTATTTATATTTCTGTAGATGACATACTATTTTTCCAATAAAGGAAGGAGATGGTCCGGGGTGGCGGTCATAAATAGGCTAAATAGTGGCAAAACTATTTTATTAAAAGCCAACGTTTCAACCCGACTTTGCAGATCTTCTTTAAGGAGGTGTGTTCAGCTAGGAGTTTCACTTAGAACTCTTTCTAAGTGTAATTCAGTTCTAAGTGAAACTCCTAGCTGAACACACCTCCTTAAAGAAGATCTGCAAAGTCGGGTTGAAACGTTGGCTTTTAATAAAATAGTTTTGCCACTATTTAGCCTATTTATGACCGCCACCCCGGACCATCTCCTTCCTTTATTGGAAAAATAGTATGTCATCTACAGAAATATAAATACAAAGAAGTGAATGAATGTGAATAAACATGTATAAATGTGTGATAACACGTGAAATTATTTGATAAACTAGTTTGAAGTATATAAATAACAAGAAAATAATTAGATAGGTATATATATATATATATATATATATATATATATATATATATATATATATATATATATATATATATATATATATATATTAAAATAATTAGAATAGTACTTAGAATTAGTCAAAAATAACATTAATAAATAATGAATGGAAAAGATAAAATAAAATTAGGGAGTTGGTAACAAAGTGATAAAGTAAGCAATGATAAAATAGCAACTTAATGAATCAAACAAAGCAATACAAAATGAAATGGAATATTAAGTAATATATAAATCTGAGGAGTAAGTAGTTGAATAAAATAAATAGGTTGTCGTAGTTCCTATAAGTTAATGTTATAATATGTTCAGGGGAAATGAAGTAAACTTAGATTAATAATGAAATGGAATATCGAGTAATATAAATTAAAAAGTTAATAGAAAAAAATAAGATGTAAAGAAATCAATAGAAACACCTTGTAAACATAGAAATAAATTGAAATATTAAGTTATAAAAATTAGGATAATAAGATTGATTAAATAAGTAAATGTAATAACATAAAAAAAAAAAAAAATCTGATAAAGATATATCTTATTTATAGTCTTAGTTAATAAATACCTTTTTTTTGTTTTTAATTTGTCTTTTTATATTACTTTTTGGTTTAGCATGACAGGTTTGTCTTGTCTGTTAGTTAATTCAGCTGTTTGCTCAATTTTATTTTCAATAGTTGAACATTATACAAACCCATCAAGTACTATTTACTGAGAGCATAATATGCTAAAATATGGATATTTATGTATTATTTACTCATAATAATTTGAAAATAATTTTCAGTGGTGTTATTGTTCCTGGAGGATTTGGAACAAGGGGAGTAGAGGGGAAAATAGAAGCGTGTAGGTGGTGCAGGGAGACCAACAAACCATTCCTGGGAATATGTCTGGGGCTTCAAGCTGCAGTCATCGAGTTTGCCAGGTGAGGAAGTTCAAATTTCTTTGCTTTGAAGAAGGTACATTCAGTTCTTTCTTGATAAATCGAAAACATCTCATTTTGGAATAAGCTTCATTATAAAATAATGTAAATGAGCATAAGTCCTAGTGTTAAGACCAGAATTATATTTTAATGTTTGTATTGAAGAAAACAAACAAAATGTTAACCCAGAGTGAGTATACAGTGGATAGAAATAACAATGTTTTCAAGTCAAGGGTTTTGTTGTGTCATATGTTAAAAAAAAGAAGATATAAATATTTAGCTTCATTTCTCATCCAGGCTTTACGGCATAGTATAGTAGTTCATCGATAATTATTAAAATCAGATTTTATTGCGATTCGTTCTTCTAATTGAAGAGATACCACTTATAGCCAACCTCACTGGACCCGTCCTATGAACATATATATGTGAGAAAACGTTGCCTTGGCGATATCCAACCTGACCAGCCAGAAGCCACATAAACAAAGGTTATAGCTTTAAATTTATTCATTTAGAACCTGGGTTAACATTTAAAATTCAATCATATAAATCAAGATTTTAAGAATTTCATATTATTTTAATTTTTTTTTTTATTCCTCACATATAAATTTGAATGTTAATGTTAACTTACAATGTACCTATAATTTATATATTTTATTTTCAGTTTGTCAATTTTTTGTAAAATATTCTTTGCTCTCATTTAGTTTTGTTTTTGTCTTAATTTTTAACAAATACCATTCAGTTTATTTAATATAATCTTTTTTCTAGTTGATTGATTTTTACTTTCACTTATCTATATATGTAATATATAGTAAGGGTAAGTATTGCGTGAAATACTGTAAGTGAAAATTTTTGAGTCTGAATTTTCAACAGTGTCAATACTATAATATACCAATACACATAATTACAATTATACAATATATAATTTATGAAATTTATAGGAAAAAAAGAATAAAAAAAAAGATGGTATTTGAATGCCATAGTTTTAAAATCAGAAAATTAGAACACACACATCAAGTAACATAATCCTAGAACATAGACAAAAAGATATGGTTAGTTAAATAATTTAAAATGGAATAAATAAAAAAATATCGATAATCAACCCCTAATTACCATATATGTGATTGTGAATAATCCCAAGGGAGTCCAGAATAATACCCTTGGACAACACTGCAAGCTCCCCGACATCAACACCTAGTTCCTCGTAGAAGCTCCCTGTTCTTTTAGAAATTGTTCCGCGAGACCCAAATCAGAGGCATCTCACTGTGAACTCTCTTTCTCCGAAGGTCTCGTGATATTTCTCATTTAGTAAAGGGATGCATTTTTCGTAGATTACCTTCTTTTCTCTTTCTACTTCACTGGCCTGATCGAGATCATTGCTCTCATAGCGAACAGTTGGATCAAAGACCAGTGCCGCCTTTCCAGTCCTGGAGAATGCAAATATATCTACATATCTTGTTTATCCATCACCATCAATACAATAGACCTCGTGAATTTCCTTTCCCTGAGGAGCCTCATCAATTTGAATGTGACCCTGTGGTGCTGGCTTGTTATGAGGAGGGAGTTGTTAAGGCATTTTCCTAGCAGATGGGCTGGTGTTTCAGACTCTGCTGCATTTGCGACAGAGGGATCCAACTTCCTTTGACTGTCCACTGGTTCCTGGGATTCTACGCAATGGTGCATAGTTGATGTTAAGTTTCAAGGCGTCAGACCATTCTGATCCCGAAAGTACTTGCTTCTGGCGTATATATATTTATTAGCTTTTGGAGTCTCTTTGAAATGCCTAACTCCTATGCCTTGCCACCTGCAATTGACCCATTCTTCAAAAGAATTCTCCCTCATGCTTCGTTAGCCCTGATCAAAACCCAGTCTCTCCGCACATTTAACAATTTCGGCATTATAATCAAATAGAGACTGGAACAGAGCATCCGGTACACTGGACAGTCGCTGGGCAATGGACCAATGTTGCAAAGGAGACTCCCATTGACAGCGGATCAGTCCCAATCCTCGATACCTCCTTGGTGCTTATAACATCGTCGATGATGTATTAGTGGGGAGTCCTATGATGGCCTTTATACTCCTGCGGATATTTACATCAATCACCTCCAATAACGCAGGATGTATCTTTGTAAGGGGCACCGTCTGTAGAGGGTAGGTATGTCCTGGAAACACATATTGATTAACAACATTGGTCTTTTGTTCCGGTTATGCTGCAAGTAATAGTCGTACAATCCATAATCAACCGTTGATATAATAAATAGGACTTTTGTTATTTTAATATTATTTATGATTTGTTAGCTGTAATTTTTTAGCTTTAGCTCAGTTAAAAATGCAATTCTAAAATTTTATAATGGCCCATCATGGCCGGAAAATAATTTTTATTCAAAGTTGAGTGGTAAGTGAAAGTTATGTGTTGTGCTCACCAGATTTTGTTTTTGTAATAAGGAGATAATTATTTTTGCTGTTAAAACTAAAGATATTTTTTTATTTCTAATAATAATGTAATAATAAATCTACTACTATTCAAATTATATATAATTTAGTTGACTCTTGAATATATATATATAAGAGTCCTTATATATATATGTATATGTATATGTATATAAGAATATATATATATATGATTTTATTTCTCTAACAGAATCAGTGTATAATAATAGGGAAGAAGGATTGAGATCAATTCTGATATTGCCCCTTACCATACACCTAGTATAATAAACTTTATTGTTGATTATATTATGAAGTTATAACATAATTTTATAGTTTTTTTTCTCTTTCTATAATCGAGCTAATAGATCAGGCATCTTATTTTAGGTTTCATCTGTCATTTCATTGCTAACAATTTTCTTATTTCGATCTGAACCTGTTTCTATATTTTTTGTAATTTAATATAACTTTTTTTTTCACTAGAAATGTCTTGGGTTTGAATGGAGCTCATACCAATGAAATAGATAAAAATACTGAACATCCTGTTGTCATTGAAATGCCTGAATACAATCCAAGTAATATGGGTGGTACTATGAGATTGGGAAGAAGAATAACAGTATTTAAAAATGATTCTTCATTATTAAGTAAGCATGTTTTTGAAATGATTATATATATATAAATATAAATCAATATATAGTTTTTGATTCTCTTCAAGATTAATTGTGTTGAATGTTAAAGAATAACCAATATTCATTTGTTTGTTTTTATTATCATTTTTAGAACAACTATATCAGAAGGATAAAATTGAAGAGAGACATAGGCATAGGTTTGAAGTTAATCCACAATATATTCAGCAATTTGAAGATAAAGGATTTCATTTCGTTGGTTTGTATTTGCTTAATTTTAAGTGTAGAACTTAAGCTTAGTATCTTCATGATGGGGGTGGAGTCTGAACTAAATAATAAAAAAAAGTTTGGCCTGCTGTTGTGTTATTTCAATGTTTTTGTTTTAATGTCGTTTTGGTACTTCATGAATTTTCATACACTTCTACAAGTTGTATGACCTATCGTCTGATCACCTATGATTTAGTGTTCAACATTTAAGGTTAAAATTCAATTTTTTTTAAGTCTCATTTGTATTGTATTTTATCATTTTTAATTTTAATTTGGTTATTGTTATTTATAAAGATTTAACTAGTTTTTTTGTGAAACAGTATTAACAATGTTAATAAATTATTATATATTAATTAAAAATATATTAATAATACATTTGATTTTAGAAATCAGAAATTATCTGGATTAAAATGTTTCGAATTTGGCTGAATTCTGGGGTAATATTTTTAAGAAGTTCAGATCATATTATTCTTACTCTTGTTTATAATTTGAAATTAATTCTTGAAAATCTGACTTATGTATTTTTTTTTTTTATTATTTAAAACCTTGACATGTCTATTAGGCAATTCGGGTTTCTGCAATAGTGAGATGTTAGGCAGGTCAGCTTAACATCTCACTGCTGCAAGTAAATCTTGGTCTTCTGCTCTTTCTTAATTTGATAGTATGTTACTATTAGTCTTTTTATGACCGCCATCCACCATCTTACTCAATCTTAAATAATTGCACCACGAGTATTTCAATACAGCAGATAAAAATGCATCACACCACTATCATTTACCACCCTACTTTTAGTAGAAACACTAAAAAATAAAAATTGTAGACAGCTAATATACTAATTTTTAATAAATTAGTTACAATATCACTATCCACATGCATATGGCCCATTAAGAAAGATAATGAAAAAATAAAAAAACCTGTGCCGAGGGCTGGATCCGCTAGTGGTGGCACAGGTTTTTTTTATTTTTTCATTATCTTTTTTAATGGACCATGTGCATGTGGATAGTGATATTGTAACTAATTTATTAAAAATTAGTATATTAGCTGTCTACAATTTTTATTTTTTTCACTATTTCTACTAAAAGTAGGGTGGTAAATGATAGTGGTGTGATGCATTTTTATCTGCTGTATTGAAATACTGGTGGTGTAATTATTTAAGATTAAGTAAGAAGATGGTGGATGGCGGTCATAAAAACACTAAAATAGTAACATACTATTTTAGTCTTTTTATGACTGCCACCCCGGATCATCTTCTTACTCAATAATATGCAACGGTCAACCATCAAGTATTCAATTATTTAAGATGTTACTATTTCATTTCAATTGATCTTTAGTGATTTTTTTAAGAAGAAAAACACTTCTTCTTTATTCAATTGCTCATTACTTGTGAAACCATTAACTGGGTTTTATGTAGTGTTAGTTTAAATGATATTAAACTATCTAGTTCAAATAATGTAAAACTATCTAGTTTAAACGATAATTTTTATAGTCATTATAAAAGCCTAAATAATTGTTTTGTTTATTTTTTAGGGCATTGTGAAGAAAATGATAGGATGGAAATTGCTGAACTGGATGACCATCCATACTACGTATCCGTTCAGTTCCATCCTGAATACCTCTCAAGACCCCTTACCCCATCTCCACCTTTTCTGGGTTTGATATTAGCAGCGACAGGTAAATTAAATAATTATCTACACAGGGGTTGTAGATTATCTCCGAGGGACCTGTCTGATGAAGATATGTCTGGTAATTAAAAATTCATTATATGACTATAAATACTTTCATGTTAATTGCTTATTTATTTATTAATGTGTAATATGTTTAGTGGGAGATAATTATTATGTTATTCTCGTAGAAATCTTAAACATTTGTAATATGCATATGCATACAATTTTGGTTTACGATTGAGTTTAGTACTAATGTACTAAAAAAACAAAATATTTTTATTTCATTATTTTTTATTTTCTATTTTCATATTAGTAATGATATTCTGAAATTTTATTTAACAATTCGTTTTTTACTTTCGACTTATTTTAATCAAAGCCATACCCATACCATACCTATATTTTCTTACATCGTAAAGAAATCTTGCATATAATTTTTTATTCGAATTTCTGTGATTTTAATTTGTTCTTTTCAACATTTAGTTTATTTTTATATCCTTCTGCTGCTATGTCAAAAATGATTTTTTTTTGTTAAAAAATTGTTATATCCTACTCTTCTTCCTTGATCCTTTTCCTCGCAACTCTCCTTCCCAACATCTCAGTTATGACTAATATCCTAAACTCCTGTCACGTCAATGCACAATCCCTTAATGCCCACTTTGATGAATTCTAGAAATATTTCCTAGGCAATTTTTATCACGTAATAGCAGTATCTGAAACCTGGCTAAAATCTTTTATCCCTCCCTTCCTAATTTCCCTATCCAGCTACTCTTTCCTACGTCATGATAGATCAAATAGCACGGGAGGTGGTGTCGGACTATATGTACATGATAGTCTTAAGGCCAAAATCCTTTTACAGTCCCCCTCTCATGACTTCCCACACATTGAATATATGTTTGTTGAAATTTCCTGTATTATATGTTGTAGTCTACCGCCCTCCTAGTGTACCATTCAGCCATCTTTTTGAACCCTCCCTTGTCAATCTGATTTCCACCTACTCCAATGTCATCATTTCAGGCAATTTTAATGTAAATATGCTCTTAGAATCTCCCAAAAAATACTTCCTCACCGACCTAATATTTTCTCGTAATCTTTATCTTGTCCCTTATTCTCCCACTCATCACACCCAGTTCTCTAACACATAGACCTCCACATCTCTGACTCATCCCTTAAAATCCTTTTCTCCTCTCAACACCCCGTACGCTTTCTATCATCACACGACCTGATCCAAATTTCGTACGACCTACCCGTGAAATCATTTACTTCCAAAATAGTGTCATATCGCAATTTAAACCTCCTTTCATATGAATCCCTTCAATCTGAACTTGATTCTGTCCAATGGGATACCATATTTTCTTATACCTCCATTGACCCTATGATATCCACCCTTACCTCAAACCTACAATCCATATTAGACATCCATGCTCCTCTGAAAACCAGAATCTTTATGTCGTCCCACTGCTCCTTGGCTGAATCCTGAAATAAAGGGAATGGTAAAGAGAAGGAATGCAGCAAGGCGCATATACCATCAAACCCGTTTACCTGCTGATTATGCGTCTTTCAAACAACTTTGCAATGCAACCCAATCCACAATCCGACTTTCTAAATCCAACTACTTCCATAATGTCCAATGTCCTTTCCAATGCTCCCGATTCCAAATCAAAATGGAAAATACTTCGTAGTCTATCCCTACCAGATTTCAATAGCCTCATTTCCCTCCCTGTGACTCTAGATGATCTTAATGACCATTTCTTATCATTTACTTCTAATCCTTCTCCCACTCATGATATTGAATACCACAATTTCAATCCTGAAAACTTCTTTTTCACTGTCCTATCCTAAAATCCCACACCAATGATTATGGTCCTGACTATATTCCAGTAAAACTTATAAAATCCAGCCTTCCTACCCTAATTCCAGTACTTTATCATATCTACAACTTTTCATTGCAAAATTCCATATTCCCCTCTTCCTGGAAAACTGCACTAGTTAGATCTTTGAATAAAACTTCGAACCCTTCCTCACTGAACGACTTCCGTCCTATTTCTCTTCTTTCCAACCTCTCAAAACCACTGGAATGCCTTGTACAAAATCAACTTTCCAACTTCCTAGAAGAACGTTCCCTCATCAATCCATTCCAATCTGGCTTTCGACCGGGCTATTCAACGCAATCTGCCCTCCTTAAAATAACCCATGACCTCCAAACCTCCATTGAACACCAAAATCTTACTATCCTCATCCTTCTAGATTTTTTCCAAAGCTTTTGATACAGTTGACCATAACATCCTTCTTACCAAATTGCAAAATCTTCCTCTATCCAACAGTATCCTGCATTGGTTGAAATCCTTCCTTTCCGATCGATCCCAGTATGTAGTCGTCCCAAATCAACCTGCCTCAAAGACACTTCCCCTCACCTGTGGTGTCCCTCAGGGTTCCTCCTTATCTCCTACTCTATTTGCTTTTTACATTAATGACCTGCCTCTCCTGATTCAACACTCCAAATACCACATCTATGCTGACGATTTCCAAATATACCTTTTCTTCCCCTCTTCTGACGTATTAGCCGCCACAAAAAAGCTTCAAGAAGATTTAAATAGAATATATGACTGGGCAGGAACTAACAAGCTGAAGTTAAATGCGGAAAAGACCAAGGCAATCCTAATAGGCTCCAATCACCTCCTCAAAACTGTTCCTAACATTCCAACCCTGTTCCTACATGATAATCCCATTAAATTTTATCCCACCATCAAAAACCTTGGAATAATCTTTGATCAAACCCTTTCCTGGAAAAAACCATGTATCCAATATCCCCCAACCGACGTACCTTTTCCACCCTAAAACACTTATATAGCCTACGACACCTTTTTCCTTTTGAAATCCGTAGACTCCTGGTCACTTCCTTAATATTTCCCCACTTCGACTATTGCTGCACGGTATATGGAGGCGTCTCTGGAGATCTCTAGGCGAAACTAAAACGTTTGATAAATTGCTTTGTACGATTCATCTTCGGGATCCCAAGGAATACCCCTGTTTCCTGTTTCTATGAAGAGTTGAAATGGCTTTATCCTTCCTACCGCCGTAAGTATTTCCTGTCATCCTTCCTCTTCCAAGTCATTCACTCCTGCCGTCCTTCATACATCTCCGAGCTCCTTCAATTTAAATCCTCTGTCCGCTCCCGCAATACCTGTTCCCGGTCCTCAGATTTATATATAATGGCCCACCGAACCGCTGCTTTCGATAAATCTTTTATTATTCGATCCTCATCCCTATGGAACTCCATCCTCCCGACATCCATCGATCCAATACTCTCCCTACTTTTAAATCCCGCCTATTCAATCACTTTCTTTCCGTCTAGTCCCTCTAAAATTGTAAATAGAAACTTCTGTAAATATGTATATATATATATTATTAGTTTATTTTCATTTCATTGTTCTTTCATTTATTATACTGAATTGATTAAGTATTTGTGGAATATTCTTGAATAATAGTAGTTAATTTTATTTTCATACTTAACTTTATAATATATAACTGAAAAAAGTTAGTTAACTATTCTGCATATCATGGGTGAAAAATAGTCAGTACGCTATCAGTTTTTAAGAATTTTATTGTTACAAGCTTGTGGGTCATCAGTGCTGAAAACTTTTTTTTATAGAGTTTATATCATAGAGATGTAATCGTTAAGGAGCTCGTGGCAAAATAGGTGTCTTATTTCATCCTAAAGTTTGTCCTTATAAAACATTCAAAAAGTTTATTTTTTCAGTTTTTCGTTAATATCATCTAATAAAATTGGAATCTAGTCGTTTATGTGATCTAATAAAAAAGTATATATGTTTTTTAGATGGTGAAGTTGTTGATTTGGCAGATAGTACAGGACACTTGTCGCTGTCTTCCTCCTCATCAATTCAACCTGGTGACAGGATGTGAATAAATTATACTCATATAATATAAAGGTAAGTTTATTGAGTTTTAATTTATTTAATATTGAATATTCTATCAATATACATGGCATACAACTTTCTAATAGAATTAAAAAGTTGTCCTCTTATGTAAAAAAAAAATTAATAAAAAAATGGTATAAAATTTCATTGTTTAATATTTATGATTGAAGGTTCTGAAAGAATCTTAAAAATAAGTTGTAATTGTATAAAATTTCAATTTTTCTCTACTTAAGTTTTACAATTTCTTCAGTAGACTTTTCTTTACTGTAACAACAATGGTATAAAGTTTGGATGCTCTAAATTTATACTTCAATTTTTCACAAAATTAAAATAAATGGACTTATTACCCAAAAGTCTAAACGTTAATTTCGAGTTGAATTGATCTGTTATAATTATTTTTTTCTACTTTTGAATTTTGATGAAACACAGTTTTTAAAATATAAATTTTGTATTGTTTTTGTTGATATTAAAAGTCAACTTTTTCATGCTATTAGAAAGTTGTTTGCCGAAATAAGTGTTGTTTTTATTTCATTCCAATATACTGACCATGTTCATCCACCGTCATCCAATCACCTCATTCATTACAAGATATTTTATTATTTTTTGCAAGATTATCGATATATAAAAAACTAGTTGTACCTCATCGTTGTTTTGCTCGCTACATAGCTGTTTCATAAACATTGCATTTTTTGCCTATGACGTTCAAGGTTGATATTTATGGTTATTCCTCCCTTCCGTTGGGTTGTACGTCAAGATGTTATAGGTCTACATCCTTCTTCCATAAACCATCTACCTGAAAATAAATCAAAAGGTTATGCAGTTAAAATTTGCTTCAATAGATTTTGCAGTTAGTGGTCACAAACCAAAAACAGTGAGCTCTTTTATATCTAATGTAGTTAGGCTGTGTTAATATGTCCGTGTATTATTAGAGAGAGGCGAATGGTCGCTTGTTCATGCTGAACTTGTTTACATATACTTCAGTTTTCAACTCAAATCTTCGAGTTCTTTCATGTTACACTTTAACTTTTAGTGGTCGTTTACTGAAGCTTATAGGTTTGTTTTATTCTTTCTTTCTGCCTTCAAGTTTTTAACCCTTTTTTTAAAGATGCATTTTTATTTTCTACTAGCAAGGAGGAATTTTATATACCAGACTAACAAATAGACTTTTATCAAACTTCTTCATTTTCCTCACTTGACAACATTTATTAAAACAATCTATGCATCATGAACAAGACTGAGGAATGAACGGTAGTGAGTGAAGGAAAATGAAAGTCTAGAACCAGTAAGTTTAAAAAAAAAACATCAAGTACTAATTATTATCGCTGAGTATTTACTTGAATTTCATTAGGTTCTACTAAACTATGACTAAAGAACTAGTTAAACTAGTATTTGTTTATTCAAAATATTTTTAGAAAGATATTGAACTGCCAGGTTAATACTAGCAAGTAGTTTATACTTTATATTCTCTTTACCCATTGTATTCACGTTTAGATCCTTCTGATTCAAATTTTTTTCCCTTCTTTTTATCAGGTTTTAAAGCAGTATAATTTTTATTGGTAACATAGAAATTAATGTTTTTATAATAAATTGACAAATAGCATTTATATCTATCAGATTGCAATTATGCAAACATATCAATTAAACAAATAATGAATAAAAACCCATTTTTTTTCTAAATTTAGTTTGATCTATATCTTTAATTTATAATTATTATTCTTTTTTACATGTATCTCTCACCTACTTTTACATATTTTCAGCTTGTAGGTGGTGTTATGAAGGCAGTATAACATCGGCTAGAGAAGGAGGAGTGAACAATTTTATCAGATTTATAAAGGCTGTGAGAAATAGGCAGGGTTTCTAATTGTCCAGCGAGGTACTGAGAACACAACGATCGCGACCCTGCTTTGTTAACTTGACTACTAATTAATTTATATGACTGCTTGCATTCTATAATCTCTGTATAGGAACACTACATTAATAGAATAGAAAATGCATTGTTACTTTACTAATTAGTTAGTTATGATTGTAAAATGACTAAATGAAAAGAAGAAAATAAGTTGAGGAATATTAGCTAGACTTGTATTGAACATTCAGGTGGTAATTAAGAGTTATGACAAATTTTTTTTTATTTATCAATTTATGTATGTATAAATACATAGCCCTAAATTAGACTAAATATGTTAATAATTTTATTCACAGTTATGTTGTTTTAAAAAGGAGAGCTAAAATATTGAATACTTTCAATAAGATTAGGAAGAAAATATAATTTTTTATTTATTTTTAGTCTAATACATTTAGATTATTATCCAATAAATGTTAACTAAATTTAAAATTGTCTTAAAATATAGTTTCTTATTGTAATACATTTGATAATTATCAGTTCTGTAATTAATTTGATTCTAAGCAATAGCTATTTTTCTTCTTAATTCCTTGAAACTTTAAAGGAAACCTCTTGTTTTTATTTAATTATTTTATTTAAATAAATTATTCTTAGTTGCACAGGTATTATATATATATATATATATATATAATATATATATATAATATATATATATATATATATATAATACTTTTATTTTAATTCATTTTTCAAGTTTTAATGTTGCTTTAAATTATTTTCAAAAACAGTTGCGACCTTTAATTGTTTAATTTATATAATTTTTTACAATTGTCTGTTTTCTTTTATTTAGATTTAAGTATAAGCATTTAGATAATTTTATTGATGATATTTGATTGTTATTGAAAATAGTTATTATATATGCACAATACAATTATATATTTGTTAATTTTTTTTAAATTCATTTTTATAAAGACAATAGATTATGATGCCAAACTTCAGACTTATTATTTTGTTTTTTACGTGTCTGCATTTGAGATGAATTAAACTACTCTTCTGGTTTTGGTTCATTCTGTATTGCAATAAGTTTGAGACATTACCAGAATGAACTAGCTATTTCTATAGCACAGATTTTTTATTTTAAATATTAGCTTCCTCATATTGCTTTATCCATCTCAAATGTATATAATTTACCACCTTATCCCCTATATATTTTTAATCATTTTAGTTACCTTATTGAAAGAAGTTAGCCTATAGAATATCGAGCTGTTAATTCACGATCATTGATGCCTTACCTAATTTCTCTATAAAATAAATTACCTTGTAAGTTATAGTTATAGAATACAAATATAAATTCAATAGAATAATAAATATGCTCACTTACTTCGCCGGTACTACAGTCCAAGGTAGACTTTGGACCTTTCATACAGTTCGACTCCATACGTCCCGATTCAATGCGATCTGTTTTCCATCCAGTGATTCCAATCCTTGAAAGATCCTCCTCTAGGTCATCCATCCATTGTTTCCTAGAGTGTCCTCTTTTTCTTTTGCCGTACATGTTCTCTCCCATTATTCTCTTTGTCATTCTATCATCTTCCATTCTCTGCACATGACCAAGCCAGCTAACTCTTGGTGATTTTATGAAGATATTTTCATACCTTATCAAGTCTTCCAGCTCCTGGTTATTTCTAATGCGCTACACATCCTGGACGCCAACTGGATCAAAAATACGCCTTAGGATCTTCCTTTCAAATACACTTAGCATGTCTCGGTCTGTATCTTTCAGCGTCCAAGTTTCTGGGCCATAGCAAACAACAGGCCTGACAAGCGATTTTTAAAGCTTCATCTTGGTCTTAAAGCTTCATTAAAATAGACAAAGACATTATTCATTCTATAGCTGATTTAGAGAAAATTTATGCAGGTATTGGATTCATCAGAATGCCATATAAATGTTAATTAATAATAAAAATTTAAACAAATATATGAAATGAAAATGAAAATGAGCAAAATGTGATTTATAAAATCAATATATATATATATATTGATTTTATACACCTTTAGAGTTATTAAACTGTTATTTTTCATTGTAAAGTTTACTAAAATAAAATTACGAGATTTACATTGCCCGCCATTGATAGGTCAAAATTTGTCACACTAATTGTAAATGAATAATGTTAGGATTTCACAAAGGGAAAATTCATCTAATTATTCACTTATTTAATTTTTTAAAAGGTTACATGACGGTTTTTCGGAACCTAATTATTTAAATATAATATCAGATCTAGAATTATTAAACTACAGTAAATGTATTTAAGGTTATTAACATATACTTTATACTTCCATAAAATATTTTTATATTTCACTTCTTCTTTCATATAAGTACCTACAATGAAATAATTTTTCTAACAATGTCATTGTTGATTAGGTGGATTTAAATTTTTTTTTTTCAAAAATTTTAGAAGTTTAGATATAGTTAGTAAATTTTATTTAATTTCCTCAAAAACATGTAATTTCCGTTAAATAATATTAGTTTTCAGAAATTATTACTTATAATTTTTCGTTATTCTCCATTACTATCTATATTAAATATTGTTTTATTTATTTATTTATTGTTACATTCCGCATCTACCCTAGTGGGTCATTAGCGGCTTTAGATGTAATCAAATTAGGTGTACAACTATTAAATATTGTTTTTTTTCTAAAATTCTTCACTTTCCAACGATATATAATACCTTATACTTTCTGATTATTATTTCGGAAGATTCATTTTCAACCTGGATAAGCATTTTTATATTTTCTCCTTTATTCAATTAAAAAATTCTTTCAAGAGTTATATTTAGTCTTTTTTCATAACTCCTGACAATGAGAGATAGTTGAGTATTTTAAATAAACCAAATTAAAGGTACTTTAGAGGAGTTCATATTGAACATTAGTCATTTAAGCCCTGTAATGTGACATCAATGTGTATAAGACCTAGCTGATATTAAATACCACTTAATAATACACTGATATACTGAGTTTAATCAAAATCACTAGAGCCAGTTTTGAGAAAATCAAAAATGTGTAGCATCATTGATATAAAATACCACTTCTGGTTTGCCGATTTTGACTAAAATGTTGCTACAACATCTCAAGCATACAAAAATCTTAAATAATCAATTTTAGTTTTGTACGACTTTGCCAACAACTAAAGCACTTATGAGTGCTTTAGGAGTAGGCAATCTCGTTTTTATTGATATAATTATTAACCAGCGTGTATTCCTAAACATTCTAAGGAACAATTAAAAAAGTTCTGCTGAACAACTTGGACTTATTGTGGGATTTATTATTCAACAGAACACCGATCCTCAGCATACCTTCAACAAAGTAAAGCAATAGTTAATCCACAATGTTCCAAAACAGTTGCACACTCCTCCCCAATCACCTTACATGAATCCAATAGAAAATTTGTGGGATGAATTAGGCCGCACGTGAAAAATCATGGTGTTTGATTAGAATGAGATCTCAAAGCAGCTCTATTGGCAGAATGGGATTCAATTAGTATAATGATTATTTGAAGTAGGCTGAACCTTAACTAAATCTTGAATGTAGTGTTCAGATAATAAATTTGAGTGAAATACTGGCATTGAATAGAAATAGAATTAAGACATTGTAGAAGAATGGACAATTTTTTTACCTTTAAATTAAAGTTGTATCTTTTCCTGCTGTGGGATTAGTGATCCAGTATGGAATTGTTATGTTGGTAAATCTTTTGATATAATATACCCTAATATCTCGAATACCCTTCCTGATAAATAAAATAATATAATAAATAGATTATAAGCATTTTTAAAGAAAAACTAACTGTATGGAAACTTTTTTGAGGCAGTGTATTTCCGTTGAAAACTCAGGTTCGAAAATTTTCACGATCACAATATTTACCCTTACTATATATTACATATATAGGAATGTGAAAGTAAAAAACAAAAAAAAGCATTCAATTCTCTAATAGAAATAATTGAGTTTTTCAAGTGTTCAAGTATAGTGTGCGTGCTGTTTTTTTAGACCATTAACAACAAAATTTAAAAAACATTCAATTCCCTAATAAAAATATTTTTTTAGTGATCTAAAAAAAACAGTATCAACACTAGTATTTGAATTCTTGAAAATCTCAGATAGCTCAACGTATTTCTAAAGTTTCCTAAAAATTCTTAGGACTTTTTTTTTTAGGAACATTCTTCATTTTCAATGTTGCATTTTACATTTATTTTTTTATCATCGTTAAACATATTTTAACTCAGGAGCTGAACAAAAGGTTTGATCAGTTTTCAGTGTGATTAGCTTTTGATGTATTAATATAAAAAATTCGAAAAATAGATAACGTTTGAATGTTTTTAGGTGTTAATATCACAATTTTATATGTTTTGAGTTTTATTGCACAATTTTACACATTTTGAGTTTTTTTGGTACACTTTTATTGAATTTTTACTGCAGGAAGATAGATGTAACCAAGTTATGTAGTGGTAACTATATGAAAAGAATTAGGAGTTTTAGTGCAAAATTAGCAGATTTACTGCAGTACAATATTGAAGATAGTAAAGATTATTCCTGATGATGGAGCAGAGTCTGAAAACAGTGTATTTTGATTGATTAATTAAATAAATTAAATACATTTAAAATAAAAGTTTACTTCTCATGTGAATGTCATTCAGTCTGACAGTGATAGTTCTGCTATCATTTTATAACAGATTATCATCCTACACCAGATGGCCCGCCCAGTATCTCAGATGGTTTGGCTTTGAACGCTCAAAATGAAATTTTCTGGCTTATTTTTCTTTTGTGGCAAGTAACAAATTTTATATTACTATTAATAGATGTGAACTTGTTACTGTTAAGTATATTGGTATGTTTTAAGGAAAAACAGCTTTTTCATAGATTATTTAAAACTTTAGTCCATTGCCTTAGATCTTTCAATATCTGAGTCCATTAATGTGCTAAGGTTTTACTATAAAATAAATAATAAAATATTATTTATTTTTTAAATGTTTCATTGATTCATATAATATGTTTTTACTTAATTTTAAAAAATAGTAGTTTATATACTGATTAATAAATAAACAATAATGATTTTTTTTAAGTATCTTCGAATATTTTAACTATTTTTTTTAATATGACCATTTTTTTTTCTGAATAATATGTGAATATTTTAACTGGCTATAATATGATTTCTAATAGTGCCAAATAGTGAAGAATTCATTTTATTCTTTTACTCGTCCCTCTATTCTTATTTTTGTGGATTTAACAACTTGTTTTAGTCATTTTACAAACTATTTATTGTTTATAACTTGTTAAAATATATTCATTTATTAGAATCAATATAATCATATAACTAATGAATGCCATAATCAAACCATAAAAATAATTTGATGATAAAAAATAAAAATATGACATAAATAAAAACTATTGAAAATAAAATATAACCCCAAATTTATAAATAAAAGTTAGTTTTCTAAAACCTGCTAATGAATAAAATAAAATTAAATGAAGTTACATCCAGTTTAAATTTTTTTAAAAACCTGGCTTTTATATTTTGATATTGTAAAATTTATCTCCTAGTTTGATATTATCTAATTATTAGGGAAGAAATAATTTTTGTAATCGTCTAACCAAATTCAGGATAAAAATTAAAATGTGTTTTGATTGTAACAAGATTTTTAATCCATTGATTTGACCCAGTTTTCTTTTTTTCAAGAATTAATTACAATTAAAAAAGTTATCATGTTAAATAATTTCAAATGGTTAAGTTATTTTGTTAATAATAGTGCACATGGTGTAGACATATTTTTGTAAATGGAGAAGTGAAAGTGTTAATTTGGTTAAAAATGAATCTTCAATCTCGAAATAAATCTTTCTATTTCAAATCTAAGTTTTCACAATACTATTCCATAGATCTGTTTTTATAGAATGATACAAATTAATTCTTTCCAAAAGACTGAAACTGAGATCAGCCATTGACTTCATTATCACTTCAACAATACTCCCCTTCAATGGCTAATCTTAAGTTAAAGATAAGTTTTTTTCTGAATGCATTTCCCAATTGATTGATTGCTTCAAGTTTAATTAAGCTTATTTAAATTTTTCTTAATTTTTTTAGTGTTTATGAAATTTTATCAAAGCATATGTCCCACGTTTATTTTTACTTCTTAATTTGATACTTGATTTTATTGTTTAGTTCAAGAGATAATATCTCAAATCGATGCTAGGCAATTCACTTGGCTACATTCAACTAGTTACAATCACACTGAAAATTGGAGTAAAAGCAGATTGCCCTGCAGCACTGACACTGTAGTTTTTCCTAAAGATCTGAGGCTCACCATTGAGTTTCCAAGGGGCCATTTAGAAATGAAAGAACTGGTTTTGCCCAGAAATGGTGAAATCGTATTCTCTGCTGATGGAAGTCTTTCTCTGTCCAGCCAGAACAGGATCGATGGTGCATGTGATGGAGGAAGTAAGCTTTGTATTTTTTTAAAATTACATGAAACACTTATAAAATCAACTTATAATTCATCATAAGTATATAGTCATAGTTAAATGAGAATTTGTATGGATGTGGTTTGCTGATGTGAGTTTAATTAAGAAATATTTTATTATATTTGCAAAGAAAAATGGCAGGCGAAGGTTAGATTGTAAATTTCAAAAGTGTATGGTATTCTGAGTAAAAAGAATTTTGTGTGCTGTTCCAGAGCCTCTGCTTAATAAAAATGGCGGCTGATTTAAAAAATATTAGACCAGTAATTTGAGTATCTAAATGGAAAATCCATTGCGAAAATTGTGTATCAAAGTCCTAGAGCATGAAATTTTGCATCCAATGAGTATTGACATTTTTATTGTAGACACAAAATTTGATGTTCTACAGCTTTGATACCAAGGGTTTTTCCTCTTAGGGGACTCATTTCCAAGTTACAGGGCCATTTATAGTAATTTGTCTCAGTTTTTGATAAATTTGGTAAAAATCAGCATTTGTTGACCGTGATTTTATACCTTACCACATAATATTTCCCTAATACAATTGAGCAATTAAATTAGAATAAAGCTATTAATAGGCTAAAATTAATTATTTTAATACATTTTGTATATATATGGGTGTGTGTTTAAAATTCTTAACTAGTGGCGAGTGGTATTGTGTACTTCATATTTGATTGCTTAAGTATCTAGCTAAGATCGTTCACCTAAACGAATATGGAGCATAAAAAAAAAAAATATTTTTTAATTTTAGGGAGCTTCAGGTGGAAAGCACCCCTCAGGTATATCTTCCAGTGACTTAGTGCAATGTAAATTGTAATTGAATTTATATAGATTAAAAATTATATTATATGATTCTGCAAAGTCATATTCCAACTTCTCTTTGTTTTCGTTTTTTTTAAAGAGAGAAATAATTTATTTTTATCCATAAATAATTTTTTTTTAACCCGGATCAAATCGTTTAATATTTACAGGATAGATTACTAGCTATTGTTTAATTCCGTGATTAATTATTGAGATTATGGCGAGTAAGGAGAATAATAGGTGGCTGGAAGGGCGTGTAGGACGTAAAGGTATTTTTGATGAATGGAAGGGAAGAGGCGGTGATGGACGATGGTGGACAATGGGACACCGTTAACTCTCTCCAGCATTTACATGTTTACACGTTAACTTCGAACCCTACCTAACAAAAACTTTAAATATTTAATTATTTCGTATAGTTATTTTTAATGGATGCCAATTTAAAAGACCCTCTAACCTCATTTATTATAAAACAAGTTTTATTTATAGTAAATGTTGAAAATCAAAATGAAATAAATTCTGTTTTAAAGATATCATGTCGTAAGGTTTAAGGCATGTAATTTTTTTACCTAGTAGTTTATTCATAAATTAAGTTTTTGTTGAATGCTTATTACTGTAAATAATTAAATAATCATAAGTATTAAAATAAATGAAACAAAAAAAAATCTAAATTCAATTTTCCCATTTTTCTTTTAATATTACGATAATATCGAATCGTTTGTTTCGATTCAATATTAGGCGATTTCGAAAGGGAAATATTGAAATCGATACGAGCGCGAAATCCCTACTTCGAACCAAAATTCATCTTTCATAAAGAAGGAGACCCAACTTACAATGGACAGAGTAATTGGTGCTCATTTCTCAGTGTTTGTTATCATTTTTACACTTGTTTCAACTACTGTTTTCCCCAACTACAACAATGTATGAACATACATTTAAATAATTTTCCACTTAAAAAAATCGATGTTGATATTTTGACTTTTGTACTGCTAGACTAACTTATGCGCTGATGACAGCTAGTGTTTTATAAATCATTAGTCATATTTATCTAAAAATAACAAGAATCTTGATGCAAATAGTTGAAAGTTCAGGACCGCTTTTCATTGGCTGATGATCCATATCCACCAAGAGCAAACACAAGGACGCTTTAAATATCTGACCAATGGCCATCGATTGGACCATTGGTTAACCAGATGGACGACGAGACCACTACTAAATCATTGCTAGCAATCAATACCCTCAGCAAGCTCACCCCTTCTCCAACATGCAATAAATCAATTGAAAATTCAATTGAACGAAATCAAGTTCAACATTAAGGATCGCAATCGAAAGACCGAGAAAAGTCGCGGCCGACATATTTTTTTTTCTAGATAGTTATGGACTTATTTCGATACGGAATGGACTTAATCCGTAACAAATATTAATAATGATAATATTAATTTAACTTTTATTAATATATAACTTAGTATTTAATATGCCAATCATAAAAGCACAAAGCCTTAGATAGCCAGGCCAAGCTATCTCTGATAGCTTAGAAATAGTTATCTAGAATGTACTGGCGGGACACAATAAGGCCCTTTATCAACAACAGATATTGGGGGACAATAACAGATTGCAGAAAAAGGCCCCTTTCTCTCATATCAATACTAAACAATAACAATATCAATTTCTAATAACTTTTAAAATGTTAATAACTTCCTTTGCCGTCCTCTTCCGACTTCTCCCACACTTCCCTTCACCCCCCCTACTATTCTTGGGGATATAAACCCCATCCTTCTCTGGACTAATCACTCATGCAGTTGCATTCTTGAGTCATACTCTTTACTGCAGGAGACCTGGAGTGAACTCATGTAGTCAACTCATATATCCATATTATATTACTCTGTATTTTAGATGCCATTTGTAACTTTATGTATAAAAGCATTACTAATAAAGTCTCCACTGCCTCCGATTCGTTAACTGATTTTTGGATTCTACGTATCTCGAAACGTAAGCATTTTGAGGGGAGTCAACTTGTTTTTCTTGGTCGATTGCAAAGGTTGATTATTGAAAATAAAAAATAAAAATTGTGGTTTGAATATTTTCTTAAGAACAATATCAGTCACTCTTGAAATTGTGGTCTCTTCATGCATTTTATCTTGAATTTATCTTATAAAGGAATTTATGTACGAATTTCCGTATATGTAAGATTTTTTATTTTTTTTTCAACTTAGCAATGTTTGTTCTATTTCACCTTTACCTCGAGGGCCTAGCCAATATTGCTAAGCCGAAGATTGACGAAGGGCGAATTGGGGAACCGTAAACTGATTTGCTAAACGTAGGGATGAGGCAGCTTGGAGAAAAGAGGGAACTTGGACCCGACTCGTGATAAGTTTGACGTAAATACCGCTTCTTACTCGCCTTATTTTCCGCTCAGATGCAGTTTCTAAACCGATTCCAGATTACTTGCCTTCTATTTCTTTCCCTCCTTTGTGAAGAAGAAATAAGACTGTTGGGAGTTAGTACTGGCAGAACTGAGGTTTATTTTGTTTGTGTCTTTACTGCTTTCCTCATGAGACTGTTTGGAATAAATTAATACTAAAGCTGATAACATCATTTTGATACACAACTTTTAATATCAATTATTCCATGTAAACCTCTATTTAATTAATATGGACTTAAATGAGGGAGTTTTTCTCAAATTAGGGTAAATTTAGTGCTGTTGAAGGATGGTAAAAAAAAAATCACAAATATGACTATTTTAAAAAAAGGAACGTGTTTGTAGCCGTAGGAACGTGTATTAACTGTGTTTGTCCGCCCAATAGTCCTGTTTAAATAGTTTACAAACTCTACTTTCGTAAATTTTGTCTAGTTTACTATGAAGAAATGCTTAGTTACTTAAATTCAACATTTTTTTAAGTTATCGCTTCCTATCCAACAAAAACCGTGACACACTTAAAAAAACACTAATCTTAAATTTCTTATTTTTCTGCTGGAAATTGGGCATTTTTTTTGTAATAATACATTTTACCACACTTAAGGGCACTGAGTACTAAGGCTGAGTGAGGAACATTCATACCATATATACAATACAATAAAAAAATTAAAATAAATAAAAAAATATACGTCTATATAACAAAGGCAAAAACTATAATAAACCAAGGAAATGTAACTTAAGATAGAAAAATAACTTTATTCTGGGACACAGTCCCTTGAGAATAACAAAATAGAACAAAATTAAAATATTACATCTGGCCAAAATAAAATCAATCGAAAAAAAGAATAATGTAAAAAAATATAAGGTAAAAATTCTATATACAAAACAAACTAAACTATATACAAAACCATTAATACTATGACAAAACACTTAAAGCTATTTGCTCTTATAGACCAGTATACACTTTTGCGAAAAAAATAAAGAATTAAAAAATAAAAATGTATCAAATTCTCTATTAAAATCCGCTCGAATGGTTAGCAAGTATCTGTTTTTGTGATATGAATTGGAATAGGAGGGATTTGAATGTGGATATGGAGGGGGAATGTCGAATTTTGATAGGGAGGGAATTCCAGAAATTGACAGAGCGAACAATAAAGGAAATTTGGAATGAGGCAGATCTGTGAGAAGGCATGTAAAGGTCAGAAGGTCGAGATCTAGTGGACAGGGAATGGACTGAGGATTTGAACTGGAGAAGGTTGTAGGCGTAAGAAGGACGATGGTTGTTGATGATTTGGTAGAGGAACGTACCTAGGAAATATTGTCTTCGGAAGGAGGGGAAGAGCCACCTTAACTCAGTGTAGTAGTAAGAGACATGGGAGTACCTCGGGGCACCAATAACAAATCTTACGCAGCTATTCATTAATCTATTCACTCTATGGAGCTCCACCGAGAGGCCATCATACACCACACAGCTGTAGTCAAAGTGGGGGAAGATGAGAGAGGAAATTAGGAGTCTACGGATATGTTGAGGTAGGAGATGGCGGAAGCGATGAAATAGTTTAAGGGTAGAAATTGTCCGACGGGAAATGTGAGAAATATGGTAGGTCCAGGAGAGGGTTTGATCTATGAAAAATCCTAAATTTTTAACAGAAGAGTAGAAGGAAATTGGCTGGTCATTAAGGTGTAATATGGGAAAGTCAGTATGGGATCTAATAAGGGGCTTGAAACCAATGACAATAGCCTGAGTTTTGGCAACATTTAACTTTAATCCATTTACATTTGCCCAGGCATTGATTCGATCAAGGTCTTCTTGAATCTTGGCAAATGCCCCCAGTAACTCAGAGGGAGAAAAGGATAGGTAGATCTGGGAATCATCTGCATAAAGGTGATGGGAACAATGGAGAATTGATTTAGGTAGGTCGTTAATGTAGGAGCTGAAAAGGAGAGGAGATGTGCTTAACTTTAACTTAGAGTTAAAATTAAATAAAATACAGAAATTCGTAGCAAAATTAAATAAATTATAAGTAAAAGAAATATATACAAAAACATTCATACTTAATTACAAAATTTACAATCAGGCGAGAGATCTCCGAATCCAGCCCTTTTCCCCAAGTGTGAAGGACAAAGCGAGACTCAAAGACTGGTATCTCGCTTCTCTCTCAACCGCGTCGCCGGCATTACCAGTCCGGTGGAGAATGAGAGAGGGCAACATATATTATTAAATATTTTTTTTTCCAAGAAACCATCAGAGATAAGATATTACAAAACGTTATTTATTTATTTTTGGGAAATTTATTTAAATTCACATATCAAAGAATAAAAAAAAATCGATCCATTGCTCTAGTTTGTTTGCGTTTGTTGATACAGTAATTGGATCAATAATAATAAATATTTGAAAACACTGGAAGTGTTATTGCTAAAATGAAATAAAATTGGCACTGTTAGCGACAATCTTCAAATAGTCTCTAAAAATGCTTAAAAGATATGGCCACTAACTTTGAAATAATTTATTTTTATTTGAGCATCATTAGGACCATAAAATCCTTTCATGGCTGACATTCATTGGTTTTAATGCTCCTTTATCAGAATTTCACGCTTAAAAACTCTCACTCGAGGACCGTATTCCATTTAGTGGCCATCATCTTGGAGAGTTGGGGAGGGGGAGTGGAGAGGATAGCTTATTATACTTTTTATGGAAGATGACGGAGCTCGGAATGGTGATGAGTCCTAAATTATAGAATCCACCAGGTCCCCATCAACTTTACGATATTTTATCTCAGTTTCGTTTTATATCTATTGCTACACCGATTAATTGTAAAACTTATAGAAACCTAAAGAATATGATCAGAGTTTTCAATATTCTAAGTATATTTTGTCTCGGGATCGATGGATTTTGATGAATTAGGTATCAAACGAAAGAGAATATCTTTTTTAAGTCGTGATTCCCAATTTCGATCCTCAAATTCCTTCAACAGCTTTAGTAAAAATGTGATGATTTAAAAGATATCGGATCAAGATGGAATAAATTATATTTTAAAGATTTCGACACTGTTTAGTTCCAAAGGAACTATTGGTGGGAGCCTGACTCAAAAAGTCTCGTTTTGAGATAATTTTTGTTAAATTGGCATTGGATTAATCCACACAGCCAGCTAGAAATTTATGATGATGTTTTAAGGATATTTTGTTCTAAATTTATTTCTTAATTACTTTAAAGTATTTCATCACTCTGCTTATTTGTTTTTACTGCTCAGTGACTCAAATGTTTTTTTTGACTAGGGATTGAGCGTACGCCGGAGAAGGCATGGGGGAGGGGGTTGTCGCCCTTCTAAATACTTTGAAAAATATTAAATTTGAAATACCCTTCTAAATATATTTAAAAAAAAAATGTCTATACATAGTATTTCATATAAAAATATTAATAAATTGTAATAATAATAAACTATTTAGTATAATATTATAGAGTTTCAAATCTACCTAAGATTTTCCCCTATTTTGCGTCTTACCCCCTAATATGAAAGCTACGTACATTCTTAGATTAGAAAAACGTTCTTCTGTGAGATTCGTAAGCTTCACATTCACTCCATGACAATAGTGTTTTGCGATTCGTACTAGTTTCACATTGGGTCGGATTCGGAACTATTATAAGGTGTAATAGCTATTGCAATATGTAACTCATGAACTATTTTATGATATACATCTTCGGGATCGCTAGGCGTTCACATGTTTCCTTCTGGTACACCGAGTTGAAGTGGCTTTATCCTACTTCCCGAAGACAATTACCTCTTGGCATTTTCCTTTTCCAAGTCCTCAGAACCAAAAACCCTCCCTACATCCTGGAACTCCTTACTCTGCGCTCCTCTATCCACTTTCTCAATACTAGGTCTCATCCTATAGATTTATATAATCTCTCCCATAAAACTACTTCCTTCAGCAAATCCTTCGTCATTCGTGCGTCCTATCTCCTGTTGGAACTCACTTCCTACCTTCATACGTCAATCCTCGTCCACAAATTCCTTCAAACAACTCCACATTCAAACTTCCGCTAACATGTAAAATCACTTGTATCTGTATACTGTTTAATTTCAATCTACTGCACAATTCCAATAACAATAACCAGTTAATTACTTTGTATTTTTTATTATTTTAAGCTAGACTAATATCCATACATTTGTAACTCTTATTATTCTTAGGGGACTGTAATCATAGAATAAAATTATTTTTTCATTCATTTATATTCCGTGAATTGACCTAAATCTACAATATATTTTTATTTTGTCGTTATTCAATGAAATGGTCTGCGTGAAATTTAAAGCATTCATTTATAGTACTGGTTCTTAGGCAGGGGGTTCTATATCATACCAATAAAAGTTTTAAAAGAGAAAACGTAAAATGTATCTGAAAAAAAAGCTTTCTATCTAACTATCTAGAGGCACAAGTGTATATAGTTGTAATGTTACCGATTATAACCTTTATAGCTTATAAAGGTTACGGTTATATGTTATAGATTTTGATATTATTATCAAAACCATTTGAGATATATTTAAATCTATGTCAGCCAACGAGTGGAGAAGCGACCTGCCTTGGAAGTGGCTGAGCCCTGACAGCTGGTCTTTGACGGACCCGGCGACACCCGACTTGGAGAGGGTGCCCTGCCCCACGGACGACGTCGTCTTCCCTCCAGGATCTACCTACTTCGTCGTCCTCCCGCCTTTCGAGTTGTCTGTTTCCACAATCACCATCAAAGGGACCGTGAGTAGAATTTTTCCAACTTCTATTTATCCACTGTAGTTAATAATTCTTTGTTACCAGAATACAAATCATGTTTCAATTCATTTTAAATTGATATATCTTAATAACCACAATATCCTTGTTCTTGATTTCTAGCGATGCTTAATGATAATCGATTATCATCGACTGATGCAGCAATGACTGCCATCGAAAAGAGTTCCGTCGGAAGCCTCTGATGTTTAACCTCTGAAACTCGAGCTTTATCAACTCTCAAGATTCTAACCATGAAAGCTCAGCGTAAAACATTTTATACCCTATTTATCAATTTAGGTGTTTTTATGACCGTTCTAAAACAGGGTAGAAATTAAAAAGTACAACATTAAAATACAATGTATTTGGTATTTAATATACCATGTATTTAAACTATTAAGCAAAGACACGGAAATTGTTAAATTAAATACAACGACGTTGATGAAAACCGGCAAATAACTCGGGCACGAAATAGATACAGACAAGATAAAATATATACTTATATATAAAATATACTTTGGCTGCTAAAGTGGCGACAATTTCGGTGTTATAGATATGAAAGAAAGAAAAGTGAATTTTATTCTGGAACTAAGAAAAAGAAAGAAAGAAAAGTGAATTTTATTCTGGGACTAAGAAAAAGAAAGAAAGAAAAGTGAATTTTATGCTGGGACATTTAGTCCACTCAGAATAATTACAATGAACAACGAAATAAAAATTGTCTGGCATTAGAATACAATTAAAAATAAATTAATTTAGATAGATAGATAGATAGAAAAATAACTTTATTCTGGGACACAGTCCATTGAGAATAACAAAATAGAACAAAATTAAAAGATTACATCTGGCCAAAATAAAATCAATTGAAAAAAAAATAATGTAAAAAAAATATAAGGTAAACATTCTATATACAAAACAAACGAAACTATATACAAAACTATTAATACTATGACAAGACACTTAAAGCTATTTGCTGATAGACCAGTATACACTTTTAAGAAAATAATAAAGAATTAAAAAATAAAAATGTATCAAATTCTCTATTAAAGTCAGCTCGAATGGTTAGCAACTATCTGACTGTTTTTGGGATAGAAATTGGAATAGGAGGGTTTTGAATGTGGATATGGATGGGAAATGTCGAATTTTGATAGGGAGGGAATTCCAGAAATTGACAGAGCGAACAATAAAGTAATTTTGGAATGAGGCAGATCTGTGAAAAGGCATGTAAAGGTTAGAAGGTCGAGATCTTGTGGACAGGGAATGGACTGAGGATTTGAACTGGAGAAGGTTGTAGGCCTTAGAAAGACGATGGTTGTTGATGATTTGGTAGAGGAACGTACCTAGGAAATATTGTCTTCGGAAGGAGGTTTGTTGCGAATTTGTTGTTGATTTTGTTGCGGCGAATAAAATGGGTACACAATTGCAGGGCTTCATAACGAAAGAATCCCTAAAACGTTAATAAGCGCTAGGTCGACTGGCAAGCGTCCGTTATCAGCACGAAACTTCGGGTTCGCTAAGCCTTATTACTATTATCTTGTTTATTCTAGTTTACATATTCTAAATTGCAGTATTTTTAATACGTTGAATTACTTTGTACACTTCATATTTTAACCGGTCCTATAAAAAAAAAATCCAGTATTGCAAGGTCGGGAGGGAATAATGGAACCAATACAACGAGCTGGAAATCATCCAAATGTTGGCTGACCAGCGCAATGAGTGCAAGTTACACTCTTGCTGAAAGTACCATAAATAACATAAATAGCCGTTGTGATTCAAATTGAAAAAAAACAACAACTAATTAGTGAAAATAGGATAAGAACATATGAGTGGCTTTTTATTATTTTCCTGTGTAAACCCCACTCTTGGAGTTTAATAATCAATTAATACGCAATTTCAATGGTATATGTTAACCTTTGGGACGTATAGTGGTTGAAAGTTAATCCGAAAATTAATCACAATATGCAGCACGAAGGACGGTCATCCAGTTAGCAATAAACTTCAGCTGAATGTATTCGAGTCCTTGGTAAACCGAGTTACATTCCACAACTGGTCCCTTTTGACAGAAATTTAATAATTAAAACAAACAAAAAAAATGCTTCGTTCATTAGTTCTTAATGAAGTGTTGAAATGGAATCAGCAATTATACGAGGACAAAGGACCCGACCCGAGCTGCAAAGCGTTACAAGTGCTCATTACTGACCATTCCTGAACCCATCGCAACGTTTGTCCATTCCAATTGTTCTCCCCCCCCCCGTTCCAACCAGTTAGGGGTCGTTTATTTAATATAAATTCAGCTTGGAAATTTTAGCTTTTAATCCGAAGCGACGGTATAAAGAGGTATAAATCCATCGCTCCTGTAATTTCATACAAAAACCTTGCAATGATGGGCCCCTTTGTTGGATACGCCATTATTATCCAAATATGCGAGGGCTTCATCAGGCTGATGTTTTTTTAAAAGCTTTTCTTTTTGTTATTTGATAATGGTAGCCATTGCGTTATTTATTATGAAGGTATAATTAAAAGGATTGCTTCCAATATTGAAATAGGCCTGAGAACATTTAAAGGTAATTGATAAGTTTTAGTCTAATTTACTCGCTAAATAAAAGGATTAAAAAAAATGAAAGGTTTAATTTTTTGACGGCCATAAGTAATTTATAGAATAAATTGACTTTTTGTTGTGAAATTTATAATTAGAAGAATATGAGGAGAGAATTTTTTTTTTTCAATAATTATATAAAAAATAATATTACATAGATGATATGATAATGATATAAATATTTCGACTTGAAAATGGGCGAAATTGCGAAAATTAAAATGAATTGAAGCATAGGAGTGGAGATATAAGAGTTAAATAAAGCTATTTTCTTCGAAATTATAAATTTTATTTTTTATAAAAGAATATAGTTTTTTTATCTACGTTCTACTCATCACAATCATAACACATTACTTTCACACTTCGACAAATACGCCTTCCTATTTACCTTGGCAATGCCGAAATTCCTCAAACTGATAAAATACAATAAGAACAATAGTCCTTTGTACAGACCCATTTTTATCACAAAGTGATCACAAAAAAATATTGAGCCGTTTGGCGTGAAATTTTCAAAATAACGAGGTTATATAGGACAAACGGCCCAATATTTTTCTAGACCACCTTTTTTTTTATCAATTTTGTGATCAATTTATCTTACGATCCAAGCAAAAAGCAAATGGGTATTTAAGAGTTTTTAGTACCTAATTAAATAGACAAATTTTGCCTCCCTCCAGATTGAAAACGCCCCAATTCCAAGGGTTTTCGTAAATAAAATAGTTGTAGGTTACGATGAGATGAAACTATTAACGAATTAATTCAATAAAAAGGGGTCTGTACCACGGACTACAACCATTATACTCATTTCTTTCAAAACGCCCAAAATTAAACCTAAAAAAAAAACGGAATACTTACTTAAGCCCATAAGGACCTACGCTTCACAAATTTACGGAACAGACAAAACGCCCACATACGAAAAATACAAACCTTTCAGTAAAAAACTTTTAGGACCAGAACTAAAGCTCCATGGTACGTCACAAACAGTCAAAAACATTACATAAAGACTTTTAAATGCCAACAGATAATGACCGTATACGGACACACTATAAAATATTTCAAGATAACTTACATGAACATACTAACACACTCATACAAAATATGGCTACATTTAATATGCCCGAAAATATACTCAGGCTCAAAAGAAGCTGGGTAAGAGATCTCCTCACTTAAAAAAGTATACTAAAATCAAGATAAGAAGGGACGCCGCTGGGCACTCCTCTCCAACACTCCATTCAAAGCCATTACAAGTATTCTTCCCAACTGCAGACTCGTTGATTTTCATTACTTATGACAGGTGTGGGTGAAGAAATCAAGTTAAAAAAAACTTCTAGTAATGCATAAAGCTGAGGAGCTTGCTTTATTTATAGTTTGAAGGATTACTAGTAGAAACAATTGTTTTTACGGCTTCAGACTTTGTAACGCTACGGGACAAAGTAACCTTAAATAACCTTAAACAATAACCTTAAACATCAATCTGTATAACAATTGACAATTACGCTAGTATTATCGTAATACTGTTTGCAGATACTATTCATAAGCCTAGAGAAAACATCTTAGCACATTTGGAGTCGTATTAAAATGATGCTGTTTTCCCAGGGACAAATATATGTTGCGTGATCTAGATTAACCTTAACTTGGAATATGGTTCGGTAGAAGATTTATTGTTACTCCTCACTTGGAATATTTGAGAAGTAGAGTGACCCTAGCCCTCAATGGAACAAGTCGTATTGGGGTCGCCTGCTGGGACCTTGAGTTCCCGGTTATCAATAATGGAGTGAAGGAAAAAAAAAAAAAAAAAAAAAAAATGAAGCCAATTAAGGATCATGCAGCAAAACCTACTGTTACAATTTGAGGATATTTTACAATTAAATTTTTTTTCAGCAGTTCGTTTGTGTCTCGTTAATTTCAAATTTTGAGGTGTTCTCTCCGATGTTATGGCATCAGAATTGGAGTCTAATCGAATTTATTTAATTTTATCTTATTTATTTATTATATTATATTATTTATTTATTTTATCTTTAAAAAAAAATAACCTGTACCACTAAAACCCATGAAGGGTCTTGGGTTCAGTACTATTTAGGTAAAGCCCTGTTTCTTGATCTACGGTTGTACAAGGAGGTGATTTGACCGAGATCACGCTCAACCGCCATATTTTCCCCTTTATTTTAATTAAGGGTACCCACTTTATAGAGGCTGGGCATGCCTCAGGCAATGAGCCGGGCCCTATATAATTTAATATATCGTCGATTTATTGCGGAAAATCAGTAACTATAAGTGAATTTTTAATGTAGTTTAATTTTGTAATATGTTATTATGAATTTCAACCTTATTTATCGATTCAAAAATAAAAGTTCATGAAAATGACACAAAACCTTTTTTGTGTTTTCGTAGAGGAAAAATTCGTCAAAGTACATAGTGATTTAATTTTATGGAATTTTAGTGACGTTTTGCAATGAACATACGGTATATAACTCGATCATTCCTCATCACAACAACAATCTTCTAGAAGCTTTTGCTGATGTCACAACGATCCATACCATTTAATTAGAGTTCACGAGAACTTTGAACCCCTTAATTAACTAAATCCTATAGTTTCTATGTTGTAGAGGATGGTGTCTTGTGTAGATTAATATTCTAAACCAGAGATACATGTTGGATTCGTGAAATTTCACGTCGTCTCCATTAGTTTATTTCCATAGGAAGAGCAGAGAATCATTTAAGCAAATTTTATTTACTCTATCTGCCTCGATCATGTGGTCTCTATGACGAAGTTGCGGCCTCTAAACGTTTTGACACGATATTTATATTATATAATGCTAGAATTAATTAATATTTAATTATTTAATTAATGACAATTTGGAAATTATGTTGAATGTATGTATGCGGGTGAGTGTATTTAGCGAGAAATAAAAATAGCTACGGTAAAATATATGGAATTATTGCGGCCTCTAATGATAAAAAGGTTCTCCAGCCAGGGCTACATGCGTTTTTCGGTATATATTTATATATATCGGGCATATTTTCATGTATTTTGTGTGTAAAGACCTTATATTCAATCAGTAATACGAGGTTTAAATATGGCGAGAAAATATCATTAATGGTAAAGTATGTTTCCTTTCATACCAACTGTTGTAGAGCACGGGTGGATTCTTAGGAATTTCCAGACGTAGCTCAATTCTATTTCCCGTCGACAATTCCTCTTTGGTGTTTGCCTTTTCCAAGTCTTCAACATCTTCAAAAATCCTCTCTACATCCTACAAATCTTTACTCAACTTTTTTCTATCACTCTCTTAATACCAGATCTCTACCTGTAGATCTATATATCTATAAACCCTTCCCATAAAACCAGTTCATGTTATTTTTTGGTTTATTATTTTCAATAATCAACCATTGTGATCGACCAAAAAATTCAAAAACTTAACTCCTAAAAATTTGAGATTTCACGCTTCAGGATGCGTAGCATTCGAAAAACAAAAAAAATTTTTGTCCGTCCGCCGTATGCCGTCCGAAGTCCGGGCATTTTCTCCAAAACTACTGGACCGATTTTTTCAAATTTGGGTATAAAATCAGAGGTCACCCGAGGATGATCCTCCTTTATTGACATTACTATCCGTCTTTTACTTTCAAAATGACGGTCGAAAAACCTGCGTTGCTATAGACTGTAGCTCCTAAACGAATGTACCGATTTCAACGGAACTTCGCTATAGTCATTTTCTTGACGCCCTTTAAATTTATCTATATAACATACTTCAACGACAAGAAGCTGGAAAAAAAGGTTACGAGGGATGGTAAAATTTAATTCCGAATAACTCAAAAAGTATAAACTTTTTTGTCGATATTGTATATATTTTTTAAAAAGTTTTTTAAACGAAATTTCCTAAAATACAAAAAAAAAAAAAAAAAAAAATCGATAAAATTGGACAATAAGGAGCAAAGATATGGTCTCCAGTTTTTTCATATGTTCTACACCAAACGTTAAATCCTTTGTTTGGTTTTTAAATTTTGAATGTGTTAATGAAGTAATGATATTTTTATTAAATAAAAAGTTTAGTCCAATAATTCTCATCACCTTTTATTTTTTTTTCTTTGTAATTAGGAAGGTAATGTGACTTTAGATGTGTAGCTGTTTGGAAATAATAAACCATTGTGAAATAATTTGAAACGCTTTTTTTTAATTTCTTCATGCCAGACTAATTTACATATTTTTTAAACTCAGTCATTATTTTTAATTGAAAATTTAGTCTAAGAATAAAATATTTTTTTTCAATCATTCATTCAGCGTATGCTCTTCCTGCCTAGACGATGGTCGGAGAGGACTGGGACGAGTTCTCGATGAGCCCGGAAGGAGACCGGCAGTTCGCCAACGGGCCGTTGCGGAGTACCGGCCTAACTTGCGATGACCCGAGCGGTTGCGAGTGCCAGGCTGATCTCCTCAGCAGGTGGATCTGTCCGGAGAAGACTTGTCCCATCCCGGCGTGTCTCGAACCCATTCAGCCGCTCGGCGACTGCTGTCTCAAGTGCGGTTAGTGTAGTTGTTATTTTGGAGTAGCCAATAATAAGATTATATTTACATAAGTAAGGATAGTGAGAGCTTGATCTTTGGTCTTTCTGCTCACAAAACAAATTAATTAATGATACAAATAAGTAAATATTAAAAAAAATATGTAAAATTAAATGCACATGAATAATAAATTAACTCTGCGACAACCCACGCAGGTCATTGGTTTCAGTTCTCTGTAGTAAGGAAGTATTGTTTCTAAGCCACCAATTGTGTATGTAATGGTCACATTGAAAAAAAAAATAATTTTTTCCAATTAAGGGTACTATTTATAAGCAGGCTGTATGTGCCCTAGGAAGGTCTCCCAAACCTAAGATCGATCCATTGCTGAAGGAAACATTATTTAGTCGTCCGACTCCGAATAGGAATAGGAGAACATTACCATCCTCAGTCAACTACTTTACTCTCAACAATAAATAAAAACGAAAGTAATAATAAGTTGTTTAAGTTATTAGGCCAAAGGTCGCCAAATGTACACAGTTTTTAAATCCTGTATTATTTATTCGACGTTTCGGCTTCAAGAGCCATTTTCAAGATCCTACTGATCAATAAATCGATTGTAGCTTGATGTGATAAGGTGTCAATTTGTGTTTATGCCAATTATTTTTTTATTATTGTGTTCTATTATTAGTTTAAGTGTTTATATTTGTGTTGTTTATCGTTTTGTCGTTATTATTTATAGTTTTCGTTAGTTTACAGTTATGATTTATTGTTTTTAATTGGTTTTTTGTGATAAGAAGAACTTTGTAGGTTAGGTAACCAAGTGGTTATCAACGAAGTGTTTAACGCCTAAAGTATAGAATACTACAGACAATTCCAGAAATACTATAAACGGGCTTCAGGTAAGACTGTATATTCGTTTATATAGGTAGATTGTGCAATAACATTTTTCCCACCGTATCAAATTTATTTAGGTTAATTGAATATTGAAATATTATTATATTTCAAATAATTTTTTTATGATGGATAGTAAAAGTTCCAAAATGGAAGAAGTGTCTATCGAAGGAAGTACAAACCAGGATCATCGGTCGTCGGCCAAACGACCAAGAAACAGATCGACTGACACCGACGAGGAAACGGAAGAAGGGAGTAAAAGGAGCTTCTTGCATGAGGCAAGAAGCATTCAAAGCAACCTAAAAACGTTCCTCAAGAATTTTGACAAAAAAATGAATAACACAACGAGGAATTATATTAATGATAAAATCGAAAAATTAATTGATATTATTGAGGTTACTTACAATACAGCCAAGGAACTTAGATATCAATACAAAGAAGATACAATCACAACACTTGTCCAAAAAGTGGTTAAACAAACATTGGAATCTCCATATGTACTTGAACTCATCAGTAGCCAAATTTTGGAAAAACCGAAAACAAGGCAACCGGAGGAAGATAAGCCAATCCAGCATCCGCCTGCAGCCATAGCCGGAACTTCCAAGGAGGCAAACAATGCTTATTCTTGTAATCTAGACCAGAAGGAAAACAAAACCTTCGAAGTCGTTCAAAGCAAAAGAAGCAAGAGGAAATCTAAATTGCAGCAAAGAAGAAAAGACGAAATTCAGGATCAAGAAAATAAAGATGAGACACCAGTGCTTGGAAACATCCCTAAAAAAGATAAGCCAAGGACGATGGCAGATATCGTAAAATCACTGCCTATGAAGCCGACCCTGACAACAAAACCAACATATCTTACAATTAGTGGTTCGGGTAAAAGCCCAGCAGATATCATAAATGGACTTCCGTCACCTAATGACATAGGTGTAAATGCATCTATTGTTCGGGCAACTAAAGCAGGCTCAGTTTTGGTCCGCATAGAGGACAGCTCTCATGCAACCAGAGTGATAGGATGGCAGGGCCTGCGGGAGAACGGGTTACAGGCAAAGTTAGCGCTGAGGAAAAAGCCTAAGATGGAGGTAAGGGGTGTACCCCACTCCTGGGGCGCAGATGAACTTTCAAAATTTCTTTGGGAAAGAATACCCGAGAAGTCGGTCCCAACACCATTGATTAATGACGACATCCGACCTCTTTTTTCCTCAACTGCTAAAAACGGTTTTACTAAGAATTGGGTGCTGGAGGTGCACCCAATGGTTCGGTTCCAGTTTTTAGACATAGGTAGTTTGAATGGAGGGTGGTGGTCTTTAACATTTAAGGACTACCTCGACGCCCCTCGGTGCACAAAGTGTCAGGGCTACGACCACACAAAGGCCACATGCACGGCAGATGCTGTTGTATGTATTTGGTGTTCGAATAGTGGTCATATGATAAATGATTGCCCAAAGAAAAAGGTAATGGCTGACCCGACTTGTATTAACTGTGTGCGGGCGAACACCCATCCCAGCCAAATGAAGCACAAGTCGGGAAGCCGGGAGTGCCCTGTGCACTTAACGTGGTGCAAGGAGGTGGCTAAAAGGACATATTATGATTAAGATCAACATCCTCCAGTTAAACATGGGCCGGCGAAGAGTTGTGGCAGATGAGCTTCGTGCTCTTTCCCAACGATATGATATCATGGCGGTCCAGGAACCGACCTGCCGTGGGAACGTGGTCACAGGTTTTGGTCTCACGTCGAGGGTTATAGCTCTAGGCAGTGGAGAGAGGAGGCCTAGGGCTGCTATTGTGATAAACAATCCTAACCTCGACGTGATGGAGCTGAGGCAATACTCTATGGCAGATAGTGTGGCATGTTATATTAGGTGGGGTAATGTATCTTTTACCCTGGTTTCGGCCTATCTTCCTAACGGAAGAGATATTGAAGAAGACATTTCTGCCATGGAAGTTATCACAGCCCACTATAGAAATGTGATTATTTGCTCAGACACCAACTCCTGGAACACGGTCTGGGGGTCCAATCGAACAGACAGGAGAGGTGCTAAACTCAACGAGTTTATTTCTAGAGGCCAGCTAGTCGTCATAAACGATGTCTATGCCCCACCTACGTTCTCTGGAGGTATGGGTGAGAGCTGGATTGACGTCACGCTGGCCTCGCCGACACTTATAGGGCACATTGTCGATTGGACTACCAGATCTGAAACGAGTTCTGACCACAAAGTATTGGCATTCAGCCTGGTTCAGTACTCAGAAGGTTCCCACGGTATCAACACTGGCTACATAACCCGCAGAAATGACTGGACTGCTTTCCGTTGCATGTTGGAGGGAGAACTCGCCGATGAAGATTGGGAAGTAGCAGAATCGGAGATCACAGATAACCTGGACTACAGGGTATCCCTGGTCACCAATGCTATCCTCGATGCCGCTGAAAACTCCCTCCAACATCGGAAAGCGAGAGCTCGATCAGTTCCATGGTGGACGCCGGCCTTAACAACAATGAAGAGAGAGCTCTACAAGGCACGGCGGTCGTACCAGAAGTGCAGATGTGACGAGAGGCGCGCTGCACTTCGCAACGAGTATAAGTCCAAAGCCAAAGTATACCGAAGAGAGGTACGTTCACGAAAGCGTAGGTCCTGGGATGAATTTATTGCAGAAGAATCCTCGAAGAATCCTTGGGGTATCCCATACAGAGTCGCTATGGGTAAGTTCAACCCTCCGCAGACAATAGCAGCTCTTAAGTATGGAGATGCGCAGGCAACCACCTTCGAGGAAGCGGCTAACATCTTCATAAAGGCGACATACCCCAGAGATGATCCATCCCAGGACAATGAGGAGGAAGCTTTCGTGCGACGTTCTACGTTATACCCTCCTGGCACGGACTTATGCCCACCGTGGGACATACATGATCTACGTATTGCCGTGGAAAAGCAGAGAACAGGACGTGCTCCAGGACTCGATTCAATAGACGCGGCGATCTTAAAGAACAGTATCCCCTACATTGATGAGCGATTATTGAGGATTTTCAATGATTGCCTGGATCGGGGATACTTTCCAAAAATGTGGAAGATCGCCGATTTGAGACTCCTCTACAAGGGAGGAGGCAGGGATAAGCAGCTCCCAAAGTCATATAGACCTATATGTCTCCTCCCTATAATGAGCAAGGTCCTGGAGAATCTCATCTTAACCAGCCTACGACCAGTTCTCGCAAGGGCTAGCCATCCGCGGCAATACGGTAGTACCAAGGGAAAGGGAACCGCTGATGCCCTGCTTCGAGTACAAGCGGACGTTGAACAGAAGGCTGAGCGGTATGTCATGTTGCTGCTTTTTGACATATCCTCCGCCTTCGATAGTGTCTGGTGGCCGCGAGCACTTCAGCAGCTACAGAAGTACGATGCCCCCAGCAATCTATACGTCCTCATAAGTAGTTATCTCCAGGACAGATTTGTTAAGGTCAGAGGTAGCTCTTATGAAACTGAAGCTTCCATAGAGAGGGGATGCCCTCAGGGATCAGTCCTTGGTCCGACTCTATGGAAGCTAGTGTTTGATGAGTTGCTGGGTGTGCTCGAAAATGAGCGGTTCCCTGCTACGGCTTACGTCGATGACTTGGCGGCAGTGGTAGCGTCAAACAGCAGAGCCGGAATAAAGCTACAAGCAGAGCGGTGCGCCAATCTGGTCGGGCAATGGTGTGAGGAGATGAAGTTACGAATGGCCGCATCAAAGACCCAGGCGATCCTGCTGAAGGGAAAGACGGATAGGGCACACCCTATCAATCTGTGTATACAAGGAACGAGAATACGTCCAAGTGAGGTGGTCACCTACCTTGGCATAAGGTTTGGAAGAGGATTTAATATGACCCCTCATTTGGACTACTTAGGAAGTAGGGTGGCCCTAGCCTTGAATGGACTTAGTCGCCTAGGGGGTGCATTTTGGGGCCTCAGATACCCAGCTACGAGGATCATTTACGATGGAATGATAGTGGGTATTCTGAGGTACGCCTCTCCTGCGTGGTCTCAGAATCTCTCACACCGTCAGAAACGCAGATTGGCGACAATTCAACGTACGGCTCTGTTGCGAGTCACAAAATCATACCGAAGTGTGTCTCACGAGGCGGTGCAGATCTTAGCAGGAGGGGTACC